CCGGGGGGATTTTGGGAGATCTGGCTTATGACCAAGCCCCTTTTTCTTCGGTAAAGATGTGGCATACTTTTGGGTGAGCTGTTTCGTCTCCCCAAACCTAAGGATAATCCTTCCCGCGTCATGTTGCACTAGGGCTAGGCATGTCCCAGATCTATACCCAAGGCCCCATAGCGGTATCAGCCCCGTCTGGATACCGCCAAACACGACCACACAACGCGCCATAAGCCCAAACTCTTCCGCGCCAACCTCTCCGTTCGTGTGTGATTGAATTCATTTCCTTAGTCCGGACCGCAGAACATGTGCTCATTTTTATGGTGTACCAAGCCTGACACGAATAGCAATTTAAATGATGCTGCTTTGGTGATCCCCGTTGAATAATGCATTCAGTATAAAAGCTGTGCCAACATGTGCTGTATTTAAATTTCTTCAAATTTCTAAATCTAGCTGCTTGGCGTGTATTCCTTGTAAGCTTCCGAGTCCAACCGGTTAGATTATTCAGCCACACACCTCAAGCAAAGATACTTCAATCTACAGTACAAGACTTACTACGCGTTTTTCTAAACAATTCTACGCTCGAATCGAAACAAGTCGTGAGTCCAAAATTACAAATTCTGAATGCATGTCGTCCCTCTCCAGTCTCCACCCACCCTCCTTCGCCTTCCACTGCACTTCCAGGCCCCGCGTTCTTGTTTCACCAGCTGGCGCCAAATTGAATCTGAAAGACCCCAATCGCTGGCGCTGGGCTCGCGGGCGTAGTGACACCATTTCGCTGGATGGGCTAGCAGGGAGCGATCAAAGACCTTCGCTTGCTCAAAGAACGGACATCTCGCTCGCCATCTCCGTACTCCTAGTGGGCCTGCTTAGGTCTTAAAGGTGACGCAGTGGGAAGGAACGATGCCAAATTCTGTTGTCGATAAAAAAGGTTGTCAAGGCAAGTCTCCATAACCCAAACCGTCTGCACCGTCTAAGACTCATCAAGCAACTTGGCCCAAGTTATTTTCATGAAAATTTGACAAGATGGCTTCACAGTCAAACACAACAGCAAATCTCAGACAACAAAGGCTCTTTAAGGAAAACCGTAATTCTATTACATTCTCCGCAGAAGTGAGTAGGCTGGCACTTGAACTGTGATTGGCCGAACGCACATTATCCCGTTTTTTTTTATCTGTTTTCTGTTATCAGCATAGCGGGAACCTACCAAAACGCCCACGAAAACTCCTCATAACACAATCCTCAAGCCCCTCATTCTGTTATAACTTGTCCACTTCTCTGTGATTGTCTCTTTGGATAAAAACTGCTTCAAGGGCGTACCGAGACCGACCTAGACGGGGGTATGGATGGCACGAAGGGGTGCAAGTTGTTTTTGGTCGTAGAGCGCAATATTCACAAAACTAGAGGTTAAAGCTATAACATAAAACGAATGTTTCTGTTTAAAGCTTGCAACGCAATACGACCCTCACGCAGACAATTTTTGAGAACAGTTTAGAAGTATAGCACATCACCGTAAGGTGGTCGGGTCTGAAAAATAGTGAGTTTTGCAGAAACTCATCGTTATCATTCCAACGGAGATAAATTTAGGGGTTTCCCTCCTTTATACCGAGAGGTAAACCGCACAATTCGCCCAGCCGATCGTAATCTATATCCGTCTTTTCTTCCCACAGTAAGTAAACAGAGAGACAAACGTAGTAGCACTTAAAATGGCGGTACGTATGACCAAGGCGCGCTAACGATGAATGAATACATACAGATAACACAGAAATGAAGCACCAATACAATCAAAGCGCATTCCACAACTCGGGACGAAATCGTACCATCCTTAAATTAAAGACAGCCATTTATCGATATTGGTACATGCAGACCCGAGCAAACAATCCACGTATAGAGCAAATGTCACGGTTGGTGTCAGGCCACATGGTACACATAAGACGCTCCTACCTACGCTGATGGGTAGGGCCCCAGCTAAATATGGAGAGGGAAAAGTGTACATGATAAAGTGTCAACCGGTGCTGATGTCCAAGTGTGGTCAATTGTTGATTGGAGTTGCATACCAGAAGTGCCTACAGTACAGTACGTACTGGTCCAGCCCTTCAGTTTTGTCTGACACGAGTGTCTGTAAGATTGATGTTTTCAATCAGGTAGGCTTATATAGGGCGTAGTCCACAAACAAATCCTTAAAACAATGGTGATTGTGCTTCAATTTTATCAAAACGTCCGAAGCTGGAAATAATCTGTAGGCCCACCCATAGATAGAAAGAGTTGCGACATGAGGCCATGTCTAAATTTGGAACCAAAATGGTGGATTGTGTGTCAGTGCTTCGGAAAATAGAAGCATGCTGTATACTGCGAACACAATGAACAGCCATGTTGGTTCCCAAGTCTGAAATTGGCGTTTCTCTCCAATTAACAGCTCTGGGCCCACCGTGTTCCTTTAACGTCTGTCGATTAGGTGTATACGACCCCTCCCCACCCCTCTCACTTCACTGGCTTATTCATGAATGATCGAGTGCTGTCGTATGAAGCGCACCGGATGCTAGGTTCAAGTTCATTACTACGTTTCTTGGACTAGCTCCAAACCATATGGCAGCATAGGTCAGACAATATTTACTTTAAAGAGGCCACCTGTGCTACCCCTAGAAAGGTGACAACCCTTCGGTCAATGAAATGACGACAAAAATGAACGTCACATAAATTTACACACTCCACGTTGCACTGGCGAAATTCTTGTAATGGACGCTAATCTTAACGGATACAAACGTATTCAAGTTTGCAGTGAGAAAAATGTCGTATGCAAAATACAAGCTTCACATTATTCAAATGTGATTATCTGGCATATCGTCGTTCAATTTGTGTGGGTGTTAGAAATGCACGTTTCAATCAGTGCATGTATGATGCTTGTCTAGCACGTGTACCGTATATGCAAACAAGCCCCCACAACTCTTGATGAGAGCTGCATGTTTCGAGTATATACAGCGTCAAGTGCGACGTGCGACAACAGTCAACTCTGTCGCAACGAGATTAAAAAGTGTGTTGATACTATTTAAGTTCATCGAATAACTGAATGAAACCCTGCTTTAAGAGTCTGTATCCAAATTTCGGTGTTAGTAGGAAATCGAAAAAACTGTTCTTTGCATGAGCTACTTTACACGAGTGGGGTTAACATTTTTGGTTCTAAGTTCCCACAGATGCCCGAGGTTCTAAGGTGCATAATCCTACAGCTCAACTGAGGGTTTTGCTGGGGTCTCCCCTCCAACACTCTCAGACCCTGAACCGTGTGGAGTGGGAGAGGGAGTCGTAAATTCTCACTTCTCCAGGCTTCCTGGCCACATCCATAGGGGTAAAGGCGACGGCTCACCTCGGGCTGAGGTCAGCTACGTAATCTCGTCACCTTGGTTTTTTTTTTTTCACCCGTTATGTGAAACGGCGAGTCCAGCCCCCTACCCCACAAATCACGAGGTGATTCGGTTATCCGTAGATGGGTTTGAAGCGACCTACAAAATCTTGCAGGTCTTTTTGTTCCGCCGGGTAAAACTCAAGTCTGGTTGTTGAAGTTCAGAGATTTAAATGCAACCAATTTATCGAAACGACTGTCATTCTATTTCTATGTATCATGGAGGTAGGATGCCACAGGTAAGTGCTCCCCTTTCCTAGGGACACCATTAGAAGCCATTACTATCTTCCTGAAAATCTTGAAGTACATCAATCCTACAACGTTTCAACTTAGGAGTTTGAAAGATCACAGAAATCAAGCGATTCCAAGCGAGTTTTACTATTGAAGCTTACATGCTATAAATAAAGCTGAACTATACGTGTACTATAGTATAAATACCCATTCAGTGAGTTCTCCCCGTTAACTTCATCACGTGCAACTTCTTTACAACCAACACAGAACTTAGTCTGAGAAGGTTGAGACCTTCCACCTCCTGAAATTAGAATTCATGATCACCTCAACCGAGGTGCCACAGAACCTTTCCTGGTTAATTATCAACGCTGATACCCCGCTGTGCACAAAAAACCTTCAAATTCTGCCGTGTTTATTAGTTTGTGCTTTTTATAGACTGGCTTTATTGTATATCTGGAACGAAGTCCAAGATTACAGCTTATGAAAAAGGTCGAGGTCAACGTTAATGACTTCGACACTCTAAGCCACCCGGGGCCCACTTTCACGGTTTATTCGCGGTCAAGGTCAACCGCAGTCTAAAAATGAATGTTTCAAGATTCCTTCGGTGACCACTAAACTAGAACAAGTTGGACAAGTCAAGTTGCGCTGTGATACACATAACACGGCCGGAGTCATGAAGTACACCCGTTGTATCGCAAGTGGGCAAAACGAACTGAAGAAAAGATATCCTGTATATTATGATCCACAGAAAAGACGTAAACGAATACAGAACTACTCTCGAGTAGTATTCCTCCCTATACCGTCATAAATCGAGGGAGTAAATCAAACTGGTGTTTAATTAACAATTAGCCATGTCCTGACCTAGCTAGCTCCGGGCAGAAAACATCATTACCGCTTATGCAGCGGTAAATGTCAGGAATTTAAAATGGCTCACTTCACAAAAAGAAGTTACATAAGTCTTGTTCTTTTATGTTCTATAAATGGGGGGCCGACCACATTTGAAATCTCTTTCACAAGACGCAGACGCTTGTAGAAACAAACAAAATCTCACAGCCGCGTCCCAAGCGCGGATAGAAAAATGGTCAACTGTTCTCTCTATTGATTTTGGGCTATTATGTGGTTTTGTGTTTTGTACAAGTGGCTTTCAACCGCACCAAGAGCCCTCCGGAAGCAGCCACAATACATAAACGTTCACTCTATACCCACATGCTGCCATTCAACAAGCCAGTATTTGGCTATTAACAGACTGTAGTGAATTCTGATCATTGGTTGATGAAATAACTGCAAAAATAGAAACTTAAAATGATATTTCCACATGCTTTATGCAGACATATATTATACAAAAATCGTTTCCCTAGAAGTGACAGAGAGAGATCCCTACCTTTGATTGTCGCCTCGACCGGGTCTGGGTACTCCCTTTGTACAGACTGGAAAAGCTTGGCTATGTTAGGATCGTCCGCCTTACCGGCCATTTTTGGGTGAAACTATTACACAAAATCTATAGTATCCGAAAAAACAGAAAGCCGGTCGTAGGCAGAGGCTTGGGTGGGTGATGTGGTTTCTGCTGAACTTGACGGGGTGGGATGTGTGGTGTGCGGGCCGCTTGCTAGGCCTACTGACAGCAGTGTCGAGTTAGCGATGCTATTTATACACGTCGACGGAGGGTGACTCGCATCGCACGTGGGATTGCCCGTACGCATAGGATGGGATACCCCCAGCTGCCAAACGCACGCATTTCATAAGGCCGCGGTTGACAATGTGATTCACCATGACGAGACTCACGCGCGTGTACTTCAGTCTTGTGATAGGGATGGAGCGCGCTGATTGGCCAATCGGCACGACATCGGTGTCCTTGAAAGAACGTAGCCATGGCAAGGTACGCATTATGGATTCTACAGTGGCAATCACAATGAAGGTATTGTGTGTGATTATCGCTCAGTAACCCAATTCAAGTGCAGTTAAGCGGGCCCGAGTTTGATGACCTTGCGACAGCTCAAGCACGCGACAATCTTTTTTTTCTTCTTACACAAAAAGAACAAAATTGGCTGCAGTGTTAGGGATTGCCCGCCGTTAGGATATCTTCACCGATTATCCGTCTCTGCAAATATTAAAGTCCAAATCGAAGTGCGCACGGCACACACCACTCTATGATGTAATGATGATATCACCACGCATCCAGCAGATGTCGGACATTTTGTTCCGCTGTTTTTACAGGTAGGCCTGTTTAAATTTCAAAAATACGTGCAGATGGTTATTTCTCCTGGCATGAAGACTGAATCACTAAAATTACGACCTCTACATACCTGTCAAATTTCGTTCTGGAAAAAACGCCGGGTACTCAGTTTTATCGTTTCCCTAAACAAATACATAGTTACAAGCTTGCTACCCTGCAATTCCTTCCATTGCAATTAAAAGAAAAGCAATTTTTAGAACTTAAAGTTCATCAAAGTTACAATCTAAAACTTTCATTGAGAAATATTAACTCGAAATATGACTAAAATATGACTCAGACTTGAATAGAACCCGGTGCCTTCAATAATGACCGTGTTGCGCGTTTATTAATAAGAGTACTTTGTTAGGGTTGTTAGATGTGGAGGCACAAACTATATTGAAACTCGCGAAATTTTGATAACTATCTCGAGGAACTTAAGTGGGTGTTCTGTACATGAATGACCTATACTGATGTGTAACTGAGATCATACCAAATGTTTGGAAATCATTTATTACGTCTCGTCTTTTCACGGATTGGCATTTCAATTTTTCTTTACTTAAGGCACCGACTGGAGGTTGCTCACAACCGACCAATGTTTGTGATGCAGAAACTGTAAATTTGAGATTCCTCGTCAGTAACCTGCAACGTGTAAGCAATCCTTGCTCATTATAAGATGAATGAGTGGTTCTTACGCTTGCGAAGATGTTGGCTTTGTGCACGGTGGTGTGACTGTCGAGGAGTAGGGAGGCACGAATTGACACCCCCGCGCGCTCCTTGCTCGAGGGCCATGCCTCCCACGCGCATGGTCAGAATTGGAGGAGGCGAAATCAGACCTTGCCTCGCTTCAATTCAGTTCCAGTAATGCACTGATTTTGTAGGCACTGTAACTATTAGCCACAATTTTAGAAAATGGGGTTGGGGTGGGGGGAGATTAACGAACTGTAGCAGAAAGGAAAATATACGGACTGAGCAATACAGGACAGGGATCCGAACTGGGATCAACTTTGAATGCTTAATCCATAATCATACAGTGAACCCCTACCATTTTGGGTATACATGCACTAAAGATATACGAGATGTAAGGTTTTACCTTAGAACTATGGCAACGTCCCTCAATGTAGGCTGAGAGACGGGTTTAAAAAGAATTTTTAATGGGTCAAGTTAAGAGAGAGACTATAGCCGTCGCTGCTGATTAACGTTATGTGATCTATCATTTTAAATTTCTGTTTGGAATCAGCAGAGTGCGTGATATATATAGTTTAGACTTGACAGAAAAAAACGGTCACTGACCAAGATATCACTCAGTGCAAACTGAGAACCGAAGACTGCTTTAGCAACGATTTGTAATTGGCCGCCACTCCTCTGCCAAATTTGACCCTATACTGAATCCCTAGAGTATGATAGGACTAAAGGATTTGGCTATGATATGCTTTTGTCGCTACACCCAACCTTCTCTACAAGTTAGCGGAACTAAGTGCTGATCTAACAGGATTTCGGCTAGTTTCTGCCCTGCCAGCTCGCAGGCCAAAATTTGATTTGTTCTCAAGAGCGTACCGTAAGCTTTAACGCAAACACCAACGGCTTAAAGAAGTCCAAACTGTGTCCCAAACTGGCCATATTCTCTGGTCAGATGTCATAATGGTCATAGGCCTAAGGCCCAAAATACCAGACTCAGAAGTTGACAGCAATTTGTCCTATCTACATTCTGTGTTCCTTTTCCTGTACTAAAATGCCCGAATTAAGCTGATGTGAAGCGTCTTTAGTTTTGATGTATCGATTCCGTTTCACATATTATTCTCAGATTACTAATCGTCCCAAACCTGATTCGCAGAAAACAATGCAGTGAATCACAGACTGAAATGAACTTAAAACATAAACTGTGTAGCTTGGTTAAAAAAAAAATCGCTATAAATTCAATTCCATTTAAAGTACAGTCATGTACAAATGACTGCAATCCCAGGCCCAGTTCTTTCTTGAATAATTCACCAAAGATGGATTAGAATTTAAGGGGGGGGGTTCACTTGCCACTCAATCCAACAAAGTGGAGGAAATCTCGAATATCCGAGTTCCGTCACACTGTCTTGGGGAAACATTAACAGGTTATCTTGGATTTGTCGCGGGGCCACTGTCTTCTGATTCATGGATCTTTCTCGTGCCTAGAATTATTTTTATGAGGTTTATCAGCAGGCCTGCCAGAAATATTTGGTTACACAACCGTGCAAAAAACACCAAATGAAGTGAGACAGTCGTGAGGGCTCACACTATTTTTCGGACGGACTTGAAAACGTGCGGTCGATGACGGCTATGAAGGCGGTTTCCGTGCCTTAGTCACAAAGCAGTTATTATGAGTCCTGGTGAGTCGGTTTGAATTTCCAACAGAGGGACGACAGTTAAAGTGGAGAAGAAAAGAGTTCTTATACCCGAGATGGATTGTGTTTTAGGCGGGAAAAAGACATAATACTGGGGTAACGGTTTTGGGAGCTCTTTTATTTGCGACACGACGAGAGAAGTAATCAGTACACGAAAGTGTTGGATTCGAGCTCAATGGCGTCTAAGTTTTGTACAATACAGTCTTATTGTCATCCTGTGACACAGAACACCGGCAATCGGTGAAGTTTACGATTGGGTTACGACGGGCCACTTCCGTTCCCGCTCGAAACATAGAGTCATCGCCAGCAAAACACACAACAAAAGCGCAGACTTCTGCAAAGATAAACAGTGCGGTAACGAATGTAGGTCAATGTCTAATGCACGGCACCGTGCATATTTCTAAGCTGTTGCAGTTGGCCGCGTTTCACGAGCCAGGAACCCATCATGGGTGTCGTTGACCGTGGAACTTGGCCGGGCGCGCACAGACTAAGAAACGGGGATCGGCCGGGCCGTTTATTTGTGAAGGACGGGATTTCTCCAACAGCTCAAGTTAAGCCGTTAGAAAAGACCACCATAAAAGAGAGACCAAGCAGATGCGGTAGACTAAACTTAGCAGTGATCTGACAGTCTGCTTTCATCAGTGCAATTGGGCGCGACACACAATCTGTTACTGCGGCCCCCAAGTACAAACAATCAATTTCAATTTAGCTTGAGTAAAAGAGCCTACGGAAATCAGACTTGTACCTTGGCGTGAATCTCGACTCTTGACTTCAGGCCCCTCATAATCCTTTGGACTTTTAATAAGAGGGTGTTGGTGTCTTGCCAGGGAACTTTTCAGGCAGTCATGAATGCATATTAAAGGGAAAACGTGGAACTATAATATGATCAAACTTCAGTTCCAGTAGCGCAGCCTTCGCATGAGGTCGAACTAATAAACATGCTTTAAGTTGGATTTTTAGACACCTTTAACCTGATGTACAATGAACATAAATGACCATCAAACCAACAAGTTTGAAATCTATTTCGAATACAACGCAATAAAAGAAATGAGTTTTCAATCAAATCAAATCAAACAAAATCAACGGAACAAAGTCTGTCGATTTCGTTTCTTCCTATATCATTTCCGTATATAGGCGTCAACGTACAACCGTTTTTTTTCTTCGAAATGAAGACAGACCCATTCCGAACATTACGTCACGCACACACTACCAACGTCATTGGAGGTTCGGTATCTGGTTTAATTAATGGAGTGGGCTCCCTTATCTTGGGAGACAAAATTTGTACGTGAAAGCTTCCGGTTGGCAAGGTATTCATTGAATGTAACCATGAACAGAAATACAAAAAAACCCCGCAAGCTGAGAAGGTGTCTGTGTGTATTGACTGAGGCCAAGCATAACAAACACACCAGACGAGTCCCCATTATGAACTATAGTTTATATTTGACGACAACCGGCGGTGGCTTCACGACCCTTGACACGAGGGCAGCCGAGTTTAGTGGGGTACCAAAACAGTACAGGTGTAAAACAGGAATTTTGGACTCATGATGGACCGCAGTTTTATTAGTTTTTTTTACGGGGGTGGGGCATTAGGGAGAGGTGTATGATTGAAGGACCTCCGACCGTACAGTTTTTAGACACCTCCAAAACTAACATTTCAAAGAACAGCCTTCGTAAGTGAGGGGTACGTCTACATGGAAACTCGTCTACAACGCTTCCGACCGAATTCTTGCACTGTACTTCCTTTAAAAAAATCATGGAGGTTTCAACCTTATGTAACTGAATTTGTCCTTTGTTCAGTTAAATAGTACGCAGTCAAATAACTTAATAAAAAAAGTCGGGTTTATTTATTTTTTCTTATTTATCATCAAAACCCAGGCCGTAATTAACGTTTGCCAGAAAGTATTGTGATTGCTGTGGCAACCGTTCACTTGTGGACTGACCTTGCTTTAAACCAAACACTGGTTTAACAGTGCTAAACAGAACTTACTATAGGAATATTGAAACTGAAGGTATATTTTAGAACTTTAGAACTCCAAGAGATATGCTCTTTGAAGCAGCTTCCGTTTTTTGGGGCAAAAGCGACGTGGCATTACTTAAACTTCAAAAATTACAATGGTGATTTGGGTTTTTTTTTTAGAAATTAATTTTGAATGGGACTTACTTGTCATAACCCTGTCATTGAAATGAAAGGTCACTCTTAAAAACCCACACCTTTTCCTGACAATAACCATCCCCGCCCCCTCTTCCTAGCAATAAGCATCCCCGCCCCCTCTTCCTTACAATCAGCATCTCTGTTTTTTCCTTTTTATGACACGTGGTTGTTAATATATACAACGAAATGTACGACAGTATACGTCGTGAGAATTCTTCCAATAAGTGCCACTTAATTTGATTGATGATGATTAATAACATTGTGCACTTTGTATAGCAGCATTTGAAACACGAATATAATGCATTTAGGGCCTAGTACCAGTAAGTATTCAATGTTGGGTCATATCCCAAGCATTTAATCACAAATTTCTTTTTAGGCGTTACCACGGGTACATTAGTTTATGTCCGACTAAAAATGCGGGATCTTAATGCTGGACTTATCCGTTACGTAACTACGGAAACTATGCGGAAAAATGATCTCAGTGCAATTAAATGAATCGTCTGAAATTTAATTCAGTTCTTTTTATGTGTCTTTGCCCTTTTGAAAGTTTTCAAATGATTTTTGTTTGGAACTAATCACGTGTCATGAATTCAACAACACTTCACACTGACTTGTTTCAAATAAATTGATTATCATCTATAAGAACATTTTGTATTCAATTATTCAAATCCTGATTTCGAATTTCGAACATTTTGAATTTTAGCACTGACATTTAGACCGAAGTTTGGAGCAATACACCATACATATAATGGGCCCAAAACAAACAACTATCTTCCTTTGAATTTTTTACGAAATTTGCGAGAACAAATTGCAAGTCTATTTCTTCCATTCAATTTATTTAAGCTCGGCCCCATGTGGGCACAGCGAACTGGTTTTGAGGCCGAGGCAGGCTCCCCTGCATGTGGGGAATCAAACCCCCCTGGCAGGACAAGAATTCCGACTTCCACAAAAAATTTAAATCCAGAACTGGCCAATCAGAATATGCAGATACTGCCGCAATATGCACATGTTAATCTATCGTGCTCAATTGCACAATACATCTGGATAGCCCCATCCCCGTTGGAAAGGCCAAATTTTGCGCCCGGATTGATGATAGAATTCTATCCTTGTCAAGAAGAAACTCTACATCTTTTATGGTGTTAACTGCAACAGACTTATTACTGGTGCGCCACTCACACTATTTCCTATGAAGTTTTGGTCTGCTCATTTTTCACGTCACTCAATCATGAATGAAACAGCCGTCTGTCTTTGTCAGTAATCCGACCCAAAAAATTCATTTTGAAAGCAAGAGTTGTCGCACGACCTTGCAACAAGGACGAGTTTGTTTGGATCTCGAAGACCTTGCCAGAACCACCGGAAGCCGTTTCATTTTATCCACTGACGAGGTTTTTGTTATTGGACAACTTTCAAGGCAGCAAACTACGAGGTTCTTGAAGTCTTGCATAATCGGTGGAATGTTGGAGTCAATGCCGTGCAATCCGTCAATGGGTTGGACACGCCAGGCACTGCATGACGTCACATTTGACCACCTGTTTTTTGACAGGCACAAAAAATAATCAGTTTGAGTTCAAGTTCGTCACAAAGTTCATTTTTTAAAACTCTTTCATGATCTATTAATTTGTATAAAGTTGAATTTGGGGTTGGGGGTGGGGGAGTTAATCTGTTAATTGAACAGTCAATTAGTCCATTACCTAAAATCGGTTTAATTAAGCCCAGAATCTTAGTTTCTAGAGACGATACTAAAACACTGAGACAAGCATTACAAAAAGTGATGAGGGACCTGTAGCTACCATCGCTCAAACCTTGTCAGTTGTTACAAGTTTTTGCACACTTTTAACAGGCGTTTTTGGGACTCATCCTCGAATCATCAGGAAAACCTTTACGTACTTTCTCAAACAGTGATTCAAGCAAAGAACCAGGTGCATTTGACAGCGAGCCATGTTGCTCAGACAACTGCTGGAAAACATTCGATTCCGGTCAGGAAAAACGATCCATCAAAGTTTGCTTCGAACTTTCAGATCGAAAAAACGAGTGCATGAGACACTGCGACAACTCTGAACAAAGAAACACCTGTACGTTTCCACGAAGACTAGGAAATAAGCCTGATCGATTGAGTCAAAGATCTAGGCGTTCTTCAAGGCTTGAAGAATGCGCTCTTGCAGTAGATCGCCCTCTCGGACTAGTCTCACAGGCGAGTATTTTTCATCCACGAAAATCAGTTGGAAGAAGTACAAGAAGATCTTCTTCACTTCTTAAGAAAAGAACTGTTCAGAATTGTAACTAATGAACTGTGACGAATGAACTACATTTTGCACTTTGGCCGCCAGCCAAACGGAATCTGGATGTTTTGATTGTTGACACAATGTGCGGAGAAAAAAATGTTCTTTTCACTGCATCTGTCATTCCCGAAAATCCTGCAATCCCCCAACCAGAGTACAATCACTTCCCTGCGGTACAGATGTTTGCCTACCTTGAAATTACGAATTACTTTCGCAGTTGGCGAGAGTCGGGACTGACGGCTGGGTAGCGAATCACTGTTCCGCTCGTCAATACGGGTACTGTTCCCAAGGGGGCGCTCTTTACGCCAAGGGAATAAACCTTGAAGTTACCCAAGCAGTGTCTGTGTACACTTTTAAAAAAAAAAACAACCTTGACATTTCAGAACCCTTGATTGGATCTGCTGAGCGATATACCAGTTTTGGGGGGTGTTGAAATCTGCCGGGTATGTACACTGGCCACCCAAGAATTTTTAATCCTTCTATGTTTTTCTCCATAAATGAAACAGAGATCTCTTACGAAATCCAGTTTGGTTCGAGTCCAAGTTGCACAAAGTTGACACGATACCTGGTCATACACCTTCAGATTGTTATTCCAAATGCCATGTTCCAAAGTCACGCCAGACCATGGTAAATCTACTGAGGTGACCCATGGATAGCTCTCATCGTATGCTCCAAATGCAGTGCGTCTGGGGTCATTCGGGAACAGCAATACGCGTGCGTAAGGTCTGCCCTATCAGTGCGGCCATACGCCGAATCGCACGCGATCTTCGTTCTCGAATGATCTTACCTTTCTGCAGTACCAAACTGGCTCTTTGGCAGGGCTTGCTACCAAGAACCTCTTTACCAGTGTGGTAACAAGTCACTAAAGTTGGTGACTCGAGTCGAGTCATTTTAACATTGTGACTCAAGTCGAGTCATTAGGTCAAGAAGTCGGGTCGAGTTACTTTCTGTAGTCGAGTGGAGTCAAGTACTGAGCTCGAGTCAATTTGAGTCACAGTAAGAAAATACATGTACAATAAAAACACAACTATATTTGGTGTTTTTATTTTCATTTAGACATACTGAAAATAAATTAAGGTGACAGGTATCTAACCAACTACAATTTTACTTTAAATTTTTTTGAGACTCAAGTCTTTTAAGCTTGTACTCGAGTCGAGTCGAGATGGGAGATTCGAGTCGAGTCATTTGGTCGCAGACCCGAGTCAAGTCATTTACCTATGAGTGCTCAAGTCGAGCGCCAAAAATTGTGACACATGTCACACTCGAGTCGAGTCATTGACTCGAGTCACGACAACTCTGTATCTTACTCATAATGTGATTAAGGATTTGCATTATCATTGCACCCGCTAGCAACGTTGATGGCCTGCTCAAAGGCTTCTTTTCAGTTGTTCCCGCACTGATATATAATTCAGGTGAGACTTACGTATAAGCCTACAGTATTAAGGTTTTACTTTTTAAGTTCCTTTAAGTACATATGCACGTTCTTTTGGTAAATATAATTGCAGGTCCAATAAGATGGAAAACTGGAATTGAAGACTGGCCAAGGTCATCTTTATCCTTCTTGGAAACATGACTTTGAACATCCATAAGCGTTGGGGTAAATCCAGGTTGAGCCCAAGAGTGGTTTATAGGCTTAGTCGTTAAGTCATGTGTTTAACAGGCTCTGGAAGTAGTTTTTCTTTCCATTTTGCTATATTTGTTGGCCCAGGAGGTTAAATATAAAGGCCTTCCTTCGCGTAGATCACCCAGTGATCTCATTGCATAAATGGCCTTGAGAGCTGCAGTTATGAGCTGGTTTTTTATTCAGATGACTACCTGTGTCAACACCAGGGAGTAAAGACGGGTTCCCCCAACTTTCAAGGAGCTTTCATTGACAGGAATTTAGATGCAAGCTCCAAAATGGAGGACATCTAAGTCCCATTTGGGAACGAGACGCGTGCTGACCTAGCTAATGCAAATTTTCAAATGTGGCGGCTCTTTCCTGGCATGATCTAATCAGTGGACGGTTTAAATCCGTGGGTCAGGCCTCGGTAAACAGCGCCCTCGTTTGAAAATAGAATTTAAACCTCTCAGGGAGGCATTCTTTCCCGACACTACCGAAACCGAGGAGTATTTGTGAATCTGTGTGCCCAGATCAACTGAAACAATTATTAATGACCACAAGTACATATATTCGGATTCTTCTACTGACCACTTTACCTGGGTTAGTTGTGTTGCCTGTCACATGGAGCATTATTCCTTCATGCACGGACAGTGTTGCCAGCTGGCAGATTGATGCTGCCCTCTGGCGGGGGATTATTGTCATAGCTCGACTGAAGATCGGAATGCTCACCATTATAAATTCCTGTTAAGACTTCCCTGCAGCGGTCAAAATTAAGGATCTGAAGGATGTAAAGGTGACGGAAGGCAAAGTGTGAAATAGACAACGTTTACGGCAAATGTATTCTGAATTTTTGCTTAATGTCTCAAAAAACAATAAAATGTGAAAACTTCTTCACTTGTTGCTTGTGGGCCCTGGATGTACATGCGAACTTACATTACAAGCTCAGTTTCACGTTAATTTGAAGAATTGCCCTTTCTACCTTAATTCCATGATCAGGCAGGTATTTTGCTTCCACACATCTTTTGTTATTTTTGAGGGCTGAAAAGGCATCACGCAGGCACGTGACCCAACAAAATGTTGTCAAACGCAGAGCTACCTGCGAAGGAATGCAATTTAAGCATAACCCCAATTTTCACAGATGACCCAAGTGGAATGCTTTTACCGAGGCTTCGTACATGCATTGGGATTTTGAAACCTAGCATTTAAATTTCAGCAACGACTCAGGCGGGGCCTCAACAACCTGTGCAGAACAGGGAATCGTGTGAGAAAAGGAATAGAAGTGAAGTGAAGAAAGGAGAATAAAATTAAATGCTCGAATGTGTCCTACTTGGCGTGATACCTACACAGTAATGCACTATCTATTAAATTTAATTATTTATTTGTATTTAAATGTACAAATAAATACAGATTTCAAGCACTTTGAAGGCTCGCAGAGCCATTAACAGTTAGGGCCTACACAAATATAAACTCCAAAAGGCTCACTTGCATGCTTGCACGTTGCTAACTAACTAACCAACCAACCAACCAACCAACCAACCAACCAACCAACCAACCAACCAACCAACCAACCAACCAACCATTTTAAGTACATGTAAATTTATAGGAAGCACGGCAGAGTGTAATAAATTCTTTCTGCACCCTTCTCATTGTTAGAATTTACAAGTTGGGAACGTCAAGTCTATGCCAATGTTTATTCTATAGATTACTTATTTTGTTCCAAAAACCTTTAAATATTGTTCTTGCTTTATTTAGTCTGAAGTAAACGCTCCATCGACTTTGCAAAACAAGGTCCGGCGATCCACATCCCCGAAATTATCTGGTTCTAATTTTTTTTGGAGAGAAGTTCACACAGCTAGCCATCGGCTTCGATAAAACCATCGCAGCTTTGCAAAACAGTATTCTGTTTCCCAAACACAAACCGCAGAATGGAGAGCTTTAGCCGTGGGAAGAGCTTTTCCGTGGAGTCGATTGGTGGGTCCTAGCCGCTTAGAATGTGCGTGGCCAGATTTTTGTTTGAAAACAACAAATTGGGTTGGTTTAGTAACAATGCAAAATATTCCAGAATACTGGAAAACAAAACGTTAAACTATAACGTGCCAAAAAAGTGCAGCAAAGAAAAGGTACCTCGACAGATTGGATCACTGAGGCGGGGCCTATGAGATTGGCTTATTACACAGAAAAATAAACTGAGAGGCCAAATTCAGTGATGGAGCATGACGCCATGATAGTGACCTGTGCCTTTGATGAAATAGAAAAGCCACACGAGATGGGAGATAATTTCGTGGTTGGCGGTAACGCTAAGACATCAAATTTCTAGGCGGGTTTCTGGTCATAGCCCCAGTCTTATGGAAGAGATGAAACATTTCACGCGTCTTGTTCCCTGGTAGCAGGTAACAACTCTTCACAAGCAACTTGACACTTGACAGAGTTATCTTGATCGAAATCGGTGTGCCACTCCGCAGGCCATTAGTCTGTGGTGATACGTTTACTTCGGGTGCATGTGATTTTTGAATGAAGTAAAACATAGGGTCTCGCAGAGTGGTGTGGCTATTGTTCAGCTAATAACTGCAGGATTTTTTACGGAAACCAGCTAGTCACATGATCTGTTGACGCCAAGGTGAACTTTCCAGAGCCACCATTTTGGACGGCGTTTCGAACTAGGAAACAAAGAAATCTTGGCAAGAAATCCACACAGGCGACTTCAGAGTTTGCTAAAGATGGACCTGTATCATCATCATCATCACCTCCACCACGAGACTAGCAGGCCCTCCTTGCTTCGCACCGTGCCGCAGACGGCGAGTTACCCATCAGGGTGCGGCCCGTCAATTAAAACCGAACCCCGGGAGACCGTACCAGAAGCAGCGGCCGGTAATTGCAGCTCGCGTGGCGGCGGTGAGCAGAGATCGGACGTTCTGCAGAATAGCCGTGCGAGCGTCATGGAGGATTTGACCGTTAAAGAAGGCAAGGACACAGTGAAGCGAGAACAGGTTGAAGAAGTAGATGATAAACCAGACCCAGCCGATAAACCTCCCTACTCCTACGTTGCGCTGATCGCCATGGCTATAAAGGAGTCTCCGGACAGACGCCGAACTCTTAGCCAAATCTACCAGTACATCATCAACAAATTTCCCTACTACGAGAAGAACAAGAAGGGCTGGCAAAACTCCATTAGACACAACTTGAGCCTGAACGAATGCTTCATCAAGATACCGAGAGAAGGAGGAGGCGAAAGGAAGGGTAATTTTTGGACTTTGGACCCAGCCTACGATGACATGTTTGAGAAGGGCAACTACAGGAGAAGACGCAGGATGAGGCGGCCCCACCGAAGCCTGGACCTGGCCATGCTGGACAAGCCGTACATTGGCCCCGATCCGCAATATCCGTACCACCTTACCACGAAATACTTGCACCCTTCCTATACCAACTGGGGAATGTCTCATCACCAGCCACCTGTCAGTCAGTCTCCTCCGCACTACACCTACACGTCTTGCCAGGTAGCTGCAGCGGCTGCAGCGGCAGCCGCGGCAAACGCTCCCCGGGGAATGCCACTCAGCCACGGCGTCGCTTCGCCGCAGCTCCCGGTGACCGTTCCTGCCATCCAGCCGACTCATCATTACGGGCAGATCCACCACCAGCCGGTAGCGTTTCCAAACCCCGTGGGATCGCCATATTCAACGGGGACGCAGGTGGCTCCGATGCCGGCCATGGGACCGGGCAGTCCAGGGCCGAATCCCGTTAGTTTTGAAGACAATGGACTAGCTGTAAGTTACTCAACATCTTTCGCTAGCTATACTCCATGCAGACGACAACCCGATGGATTACCCTATTACTGAGAGAAAAATCACCCCCAATATGTTACTCTCAAAATAAAGAGGAAAAACTAACTTGTACTCAAAAGATACAAAACCAAACTAAAACAACGACTTTGCCATTAACTTGACGTTCATCGGTACAGTGGTACTAACATATACATGTAGCAGCAACAATGGTAACGCATTTTTAGAAATATGGATCGAAAGATTTGGAAATTTTTAGATATCGGGACAGGAGCCTTTTTTGTGAATTAAGGAAATTTCTGAATTTGAGTTCAAGTACCAGAACTTGTGCGTTTCAAGGCAAACGCTTATTTTATTTCACATTTTTCAGATTGATGCTTTTAGAGTGTACTGACATGCATAATGCATTCATCAACGAGACACATTTGAAGTCGGTAAATTATTTTCTAAACTGGATGATGAATTAGTTTGTCTAGAAAGGCATCTACAATATAAGTTGTAAATGCTATACTCAAATGATTGCAAAACATCCAAAATTTGAAAATATAATCAGGTATTTTTGCTCAATAACTTGCACATTGGTTGGAATCAGTGCAGCATAACGGTTTGTGAAATGTTTTGGTTTTTATGAATCTTCAGGCATCGAACTGTGGCTGGATTTGATTTTTGGTTTTGATTTTGTGGAGCAAACCTCTGTATGAAAATGTATTGTACTTTTTCGTATTGAATGACAATTTCTTTTATGAAAGCAGAGAACACTTATGACACCTTTGTTTCACCTTATTTTTGCTATTTCGCACAACATTTGTTCCGATTTAACACCAAATTTTTATAAATCCTCATTGTTTTCAAGTTAATGAAGTTTCAAGTTACAAACACAGGTACTGATGAAAGGAAGCACCCAAACTATATGCGATTTCAAATGCATCGTAAACTAAAAATATTTACGGTCAGTACTCCAACTTATATAGTAGTATTGTTTTTCTGCAAGTATCAACATTTTGTAACATAGCCTTAATCAAAATATGTTTTGCTATGATCTTTAGCATTCTGCATGAAAAAATATAATGGGATTAAATTGGATTGTTGTAAAAGATGAGTTTTAGACACTGTATACATGTTTTAGTCGGCAAATAATGTTTTGTCATCCGCTCCCTTTTTTTCCAACGAAGTGGTGAATTCCACCCTCGTAATCCTATTCGTAGTCACTTTATACACGTATTTTTGGGAACCCTGCGTGCATTGTTTCGAGAAATTTGGCTTACTTTGGACGACAATTAACCAAATGCTTAAGCCATGTGCTAATCGCCTCTTAAGGGTACAATATTACAACTCGGCTTTATTTTATGAGCAGTACTTCCGCATGAAAATGGCTATTGTTCTATCAGTGTGGAATCCTCATGCGCATTGTACGATCAACATCTGTATATCTGATCCTTGAGTTTTGTAAGACCTTTTATGGAAAACATCGAAAATGTGGATCACAACAAACACAAACTGCCTCCATATGCTCAAGAAATTACGAATGTTTTGATTGTTTCATTTTTGTGAAAAGTGTATTTTGAAAGGCCAAATGCTGCTGGTTACAATTAATAAAGTAGACACTGTTTTGTAATCTCTTTAACACTCAGTTAGTCCATGCACCGCCATTTATTCACAAAAAGCTGATTTTACACATAGGTAAAGCCGATCCCTGGTTAAGGGTTCGTTTTACCATGACTTTATAATCGTCAAAAAAGCAAGTCGATTCTAATCATTAAGTTGGTATAATTATACTTTTTAATGATGTTTGTAATCCAATATTCAGGTTGCGTTGTAGGTCTCCATTTTAAGATGTTAATAAATGCTTATCTTCAAAATTGTCACCTTATAAACTTGCCATTTTCGAAAGATAACACTGGAAAATATATGTGTCGTTTTTTTGTTGGAACGGATTGCACTCAGTTACCGGTGTGGTGTTGATGTGATGCGATGTGACAATGCCAATATGTCACCTGATGTGGCTTCCTTGAATTGCTTTCAGGACGCTTTTCTAGCTTTCCTGTCTGCAAAGACGTTACAACTTCACTCAGAATGTTGCTGATGCTCACTGTTTATGCCTAAGGTTTAGTGATTAAAAGTTTAGAAACCCACTGGTAAACCTTCGAGTTGATTTTTAAAGGTTACCTAGCATGGATGAAATCTACATGTAGCCACGACAAATTTGGCACTCTGTAAGTAATGGAGAAATGCATTTATTATTGACATAAAAATTAGACCAAGAGCTTAGCCACTGAAGACACCTTCAATTCCCCACACTGAATTCATTCAAACCAAATATTCCAATCACTTTGGCATACGCAGTCGATGTTTGCTTTCCTTTAAATCAGCCACACAATCAAACCATCAATATCAATAATTAGGACCAACGAACCGACGGGAGAGTGCACCCTGCTGGTCAGTATGTGATCTCCTGTGACCATAGGTCGTGTTTGAGATACCAAGAGTGTGGTCATGCATGGGAAAAAACCTTGATAACTCCAGGATAAATGGTTACTGACAGAAACTCGGCGCAAGACCTACACTTTTTATTCAACACTTATAGGCCTGTAATGAAATTTTACTTTTGGCCACGCGAAACTCGGATTGTCAGTGATGTAGCCGACTGTTTGATCCTCTGGACTATGATACATAGGCCTATTAAGAGCCTTTACCTTACTAAACACCAAAAGAGAGTCCATTGTTGGCAGGCCCGGTTTCTTCATATCAGTTCAGCAGTCACTGATTTGAAACTTTGACGACATGCAGGGAGCTATCTGCCGTGTACCCCGAGACAGTCAAGATGCGGGCAAGAGCTGTGCATCTCAATTGCACCCTTGTTAGTCCCATATACCTCCATGGTTAGTCTGTCCAGTGTCCACATGGTCTGTGCGATTTGAGTGGTGTTTTAAATCAGTCCTTGGTTTTTTCCGAATGGTGCGAGTTACCAAGAATGTAGGCCTACATGTATTTGAGGATCAGAGATTGAACACAAAATTCATAATGAAATCAAAGTCTTACAAATTTGGTTCCCCGGAGTTTTTTGGCGCAAATCAACAAACTATAGGCCTAGGCCTATTTTTAAATTAGTAATAATGACGATGTGATGCCGATACCAAGTGAAATGTAGCACTTTTCGCACAGACACGGCTTACTTGCTACACATCAATAATTACAGAAGCACCACCAATCTTAAATTTCGTCCGCAATTCGCAAAGAGAGAAAACAGTACAACAACCAGTACAGGGCAAACAACCAGGAATTTCCGAGTTTCTTTGTTAAGGCTTTCTGAAAACGGAAACGAGGGATAAGCTTTGGATGAGAAAAATAACACTTAAACAGGGGAAGAGTATGAAGGCCTAATGAAAAAGAAAAACGTCGTAGGAACCACCTATCAACATAGGCCTACTACAGTGATGCTGAATGTTTACCTTTAACTTGAAATCCGCAGAGTTTGGAGCTCCAACAAATTCCCTTTAAAGACAGGTTCGTCGACGAGTGGGCACGTGCCCCACCCTTCCACAGCTTCATTTTTCACCCGTGAACAATTGTTTTGAGAGTTTAGCCAAAACAATCTCCAGTTTGAAAATTGGCGGTTTCGACGGGTCGACGGGTCACTGAATCTTATCAGCAGACGTAATCGCTGGTACTTGTTTTTTACGTGCACAGAATGGCAAATGGCACGGAATGGGTTCCCTGACGACTTTCATCAGAAACGAGCTCTGACCATGTGAGGCAACAAACTGAAGTCACCACGACCTATAAAAATGACCAATCACAATGGAAAGATGTTTCTTTGATAGTTTCGAGTGATCTGACTGGTCAATCCAGTTGGAATGCGTTTTACCGTGTTATGTGGGCTTAATTAATAATTATACGCAGCAAGAAGAAAGGTTCGAGAGGGAATTTGACAGATCAAGTTAATATCGGTAGCCCATTAATGTCAGTTGGAATAATTTCCCGTGATAGAGTATCAATTTGTATATTTAAAACTTAACTCTCTACGTCTCCCATCTTTTCAACCTCAAATTACACTACCGCTAAGTCCTCGCAAAACCTTAAGTATTTTATCATTAAACCAAACATACCAGGTTGATACGAATAACGGTTTGTTTTCTGGTGGAAGGTAAACATTTCCAGTGGTTCTCAAAAACAGCCCCTTCTTAGATCTGTCAAACAAGACCTTTATCGTTTTGGTTTTCACAATCTAAATTCGATTAATCTTATATGTTCCAAGGTAGAGGAATATGTTTTGAAACATTTTAGTGTAACAAAATATCCGTGCGTAAATACTTCACATACTGGGCGGGGGAACAAATAGAACTTTAATACGTGTAATTTGAAAACCGGGGAATTTGAACTAAAATCAACATTTAAGACGGAATGACTGTCACCCAACAAGCCAAGTTTCAGATATAGCTGAAATAATTCCCAGACTAAACAAAAGAATTGATCTTAGAACTGACCAATACTCAACTTCAAAAGGTGAACACCTGGAAGTCTGCTGTTTTCCTTTTTATTGACGGACATTTCAAGCATTTTCAATTTCATGATTGGAACCAAAACAGTCTTGTGATAAATTCTCCCGTTCTGTACACACGAGATCCAAAGAACTACCTTGATTCGCCAGGTAAAAGACCTTGAAACCTAAACTGAAAGCAAAAACATAGACATACATGTACAGGTTCACTGTATTTTTTTCATACAGCGTAACAGTCATTCAACACTTTTAACTTTGGGTTCCCTTGTCACCAAGTAATATTCGGAATAGAGCAGTATATCAATGCATCATACTTGAATTCAACTAGGCTACATATAAGACATTTTTGTCAGTTTTAAATATTAAACGATATCTTTAGCCTTGCTGTCATTTCAATGTTCCCTACTCATTTAACAAAAGTGGGTTCAAATTGCAAGAACTGTCTATCATCACATGTAATTCTTGGTACCATTTCGATATTTGTCCATTCTTCAGTACACCAGTTTCGATGAACAACCTCTTACAGCATTTACTTTAAAATCTCAATTGATTACTTTTTCCCCTTATGTGATAAGACAGTCCCAAACTGCTGAACAAAAATCAAACAAAAGAAAAGGGACGGGCAGAATGTGAAAGTTTTTAGCTCATGAGAAAGATTAAGAAATTCACGGAAACTAACTCGCCAGTTAAAGTTACATGTAATAAAATTTCCATTTATTGGGGGGAGGTGCGCTGCCACTTAAGCATAGCAGAAGTGCAAAAAAAAAAAAGGATTATTTGAGATTAGTGACAAATTCAGCATCCTTTTTCCCCAGTAAGAATTTCTGTAAAAAAAAAAATCTGCGGAAAATCCTCTTAACTCTAACAATGAGTATGGAACATCAAATTTTGAAACTGCTGGGCAACGTAGAATGTACTGTACAGGTGGCAACAGCTAGATAACCGTGATCCAAAGGAAGTAGACTTCTTTTTACCTTAGTGAATTTTCTTTAAAATTCAGATTCTTGGAATGCATTGATACGTGTATGTATGTATGAATGGATTCCTGTACTGAAAATGTTTACAGGATGACGGCTCAGCTACAGGAAGTGCTGTCTGGACGAACATGGGAAGTCAATTTCAATTTCTCTCGAACTGGTTGTGGGAGAAAAGAGAGCATTTGATGACATTCCTCTGGACACCTTTGAGAAGATCACCGTCTGTCAAGAAGCATTAGGAAATCTACTTAGGCATCTAAGAAGTCATCATCTAGGTTGATGTCCCCTGTGTCTAAATTATCATCGATGTTGAGGTCATCCAGGTCTAGATCCAGGTCATCGTCAGGGGTCCTGGGGCGTGGAGCTTTGGTAGGCGGGGCTGCGGGTGGGTCTGCTGCTGGGGGTTGCTTTGTCGCAGCTGGCTCTGCTGCTGCTGGTTGGTCAGCCTCCAGTTCGGCCATCTCTGGTTCGTCCGGCAATACTTGGTCCTGAGGGAATTCACAGACAAAATATTTCTTTACGGGTTCTTTCTTGTAACATTCTTTGACGACCCTCTTCCCCCAGATGTGATTTTGGGTTGAATACAGAAAAACTGCCTCAAGTGAGATTCTAACCACTGACCCTTGCAATGCAATACATGGGCTCTACCAACTAGGCCATCCAGTGCGGCACTGATGGAACTCCAGTTTGTACATAGGCCGTCAATGTAGGATTGGATAGCTCAGGTGGTACATTTATGGGTTATTCCTTCAATGGTTGAAGGAATATATCTCATTTCTGACCTCTGAAAATGTTCCACTTGCTGTGGCCTCTTCCATTTCATCCAAGATATCTCTATCTGAGTTGCTCTGCAAAATACGAGAAAAAAGAACAGTTGAAAGAAACCGTGTTCTCCAACCTCTTCCAAAACATGTCATCATTTGCATAAAGTACAGGAGTTGTTAAAGCGTCAGCTAAGACTGTCTATTTTACATGCCTGTCAAACAATTCCTGAGAACTAAAACTGAAAATGTCTTAATCTGATTTGATATACATTTTAGCATACATTAAGCATACATTGTAGGAATTTAATTTTAAGAAGTCATTTTCAGGTGGAAATTTTGAGTTTACATTTTGAGCATCTCTCTGTTACATAATAAGAATGAGGTAATGGCTTTAAACTGTCAAGCTGTAACGTAAAATCAAAGGTCTTCACACTTAAAACTGATTTTCAAACCCTAACTGGTTACAAGTAAAGGTTGTAGACGCACAACTGGTAACAGATTGATGAAGATTTGAAAGACTGCTCAAGTTGCTGACTTACAGGGAGCTTTGGGTAGGCTCTGGCTGGGTAGTTTTTCTTGGTTGCCTTGAGGTACTCTTCTCCCTTGAATGCCTCCTTGAGACCAACAAACAGGTTCTCATACTGGGTGGGGTCTGCCAAGGCATCAGCGGCTTTCTTGTTGACTTTCCCCAGACTTTCCTTCCACGATGTCACGATCCTAGGAGAAGTAAAAGAGAGAAAAAAAAATATTGGTGATGCTTTTGTAAAGGAAAAGAGACTCAGCTTGCCGAACTGGATTACGATGTCAGTCCAAATTATTACAGGGTTCAATTTTCACCCACAAAAAAAAAATCCTTTTGGAGAACTCTAAACTGCATTAACCTTATGAAATGAAACTTGTTCTTTGAATTTTTCAAAACATGAAAATATTCTAAACATACAGAATTCTGGCAATAATTGAAGAGAATTGATGAACTTTTTCATAAACAAAACTTATATTTCCAAAAGAAGAGAGCTTTTGATGGGAAATGTTTAAGTCCTTGATGTCTTTTAAGTGGATGGACCATGGACAACTAATCTTATGCTTACTCTGAGATCTTGCTTGGCATGTAAGTCCTGGCAAAGAAAGCTGCCTCTGGGTATCTCCCCGACTTACAGAGTAGAGCCAAACACTCCTCAAGTCTGAAATAAAAAACAACTCGTCAGGTTTTTTTTAAAAAAAACATCTACACCAACAAATGACACTTTGACACAAGAATGAAAAACGCACATTTGGGTTTCAATAGCTGGAGAGTGAGCAAATGGGAAATAACAGTGGTTCATGATTCATAAACCCTAACGACTAGTCCACACTCCCCTCATTTACACTTTGCCATCTAACTGTCACAGCTCATTTTGCTTACTTTCCCTGCATGAAATAGGCCAAGAATCCAACGTTGTTTTTATCCTTCTCGTCGGCGGTGTCAGCAAGCTTGCCGACCATGTCGGCATCTCCAGCACAGCTAGCCAATAGCAGCAGGCCGCCAAAGTCCTGCGCCTTGTGAAGGCATTCCTGGGCAAGACGGAACTCGCATTTGGTTGTCGCTAGTTCGGCGAGCTGTTTCCATTTCGTTTCAGCCTGTGAAGATGAACACCAATCACTCGATAAAAAGGTGTAAATCAAAGTTGATATTTACTCAATTTGTAACAGCTTACTACTTGGCAAACTTTTTCAGTTTTTGTCATGTAGCTCCACAAATAATCAATATTTTCAAGGAACAGTCTTTTCGGCTTCTGCCCATCTTCCGTCATCTCTCTACCTTCTGTGCAAAAACCTCCTATCTTGATTGACCTGTGACACTTACCCGTGCAAATATTAGCTGGTTTGACTTCACAGCCAAGATAAGAGAATATATTCAAGTCCAGATGCTCCATAGTTAAGTCTAATATTTCCTGAGCTACATTTGTGAGCAAAATTTTAGTGAAACTTCCAAAACCTACAAATTCTGGGGGAAAATGGGCAAATCTCATTCCGGTTAAGGATCTTGAAAGGTGTTTTAATGGATTTAAGGAATTGGGTATCAACAGGACAAACCTCGGACTCCAAGGCAAGGTCATAGGCAATCTTCAGCTCTCCCAGCTGCAGGGCCAACTCGAACCGGTGCTCAGGGTCACATGACACAGCAAGGGCCTGTGACTTGAAACCTTGCTTCTCCAGGAAGTGAGCCACGCGCGTCCGCTGCTCCCGGGGCACTGTTGGTAGGACCTTGTCAGCCGTCTCAAAGTCGCGCCGCATGACGGCCGTCTGGTACTCCAGTACCGACAGGAGGACAGAGTAGCTGATGATGTTCAGCTCCTTGTCGCCAAGGTAGAGGCGGTTGTCCTTGGCGATGTAACCAAGGAGATACATCACTCTGAAATAGATAATAGCCTTCTGTTAAAGCCTTTGGTACATTCAGCTATTTAATCATCCCACAGCACAGAAACTATGCACCATCAAAGCTCTTACATTTAATCCATTTCTGAAAAAAAGTAAACTTAGCACCAAAGCCATAGCTCTAAGTGCTAAGCTATCAAAGGTAATTAAAGATCTCCACTGCTCAAGTCTTCTTACAAAAGAACCACTGAGGTCTACAGTTTGATGACAATATGACATTTAACTTTAATTGAGAAATACAAAACTTGAAGTCCACCAACCTGTCTAGATGCGAGATGGTGACAATCTCCCCTCCGACGTAGTAATTGAGCCTGTTGAGTGAGTTGGTGTAGATGAAGCAATCACCCACCCACAGACCTGTCTTGACAATCTCTTCAATCTCACCAACCACCTGTTGGGAAAGGGGGGGGGGTTGAAAGCCTCGATGAAGTATGGTTTACTTGAATTGTGTGAAAAACAATCAACTTCCTGTCAATCTGAGAGACCTTTGTGTAGCATTTGTCAGTAGAGGGGGCAAGGGTCAGTTGGAATTGGAAGATTGATGGAAATCATTAAATTGGACTGTTTTTACTCATCTTTTTCATGTTCTGCTTGCCTTCCAACCAGTTTCTTTTTGCAAAACCAATTCTTGTCAAAATCAGAGAACTAGAATGGCAAACTTTCCAGAAAGTATTAATTTCTCTCATGCCAATTTAAAAACTCACGTCAAACGCTTCCTCTACGCCATCTTCTGTCACCCCTTCGTTTGTTTCCTGTGCCTTGGCCACGGCTTCTGAGCTGTACTTGAGAATGAAGTACGACTCGTCCGTTGCTATGCAGAGGAGATCGCCATTCTCTGACCAGTACACCTGATAATGGAATGATCCAACCAAATGTCATTAAGACTGTAAGCAGAACAAGTCACAAACCTACAGGAACAATTATGTCTGATTCTAGGGGTTCTGCCTAGGGGCGCCGACAGAACAGGTGCGAAAATGGCCCAGTCCCAAATCTTAACCAGGCACACTTGCCATTACCACTATGTCCTTTTTTATGCCCAAGTCTAAATACAATGGTTGCAACTGGTTTGCAAACTTCTTGAGAAATTAGGGGGGTTTACCTGTCTTGGAATGATTTCAATTCTTCGGATGAGCTCAGTGGAGTCCCAGTCATAGAATGCAAGACCACTACTTGAACGGACACCTAACAAGTAGCCTCCATAAATTCCTGCATAAGTTAGTGTAGATTTGCATATTAAAGCAAATTTGCATTTGAATAGCATTATGTAATCACATTTATGAATTTGCAATTCGCAAACTTCCTTCAGCAAAATAGGTCTTTGTGGATATTCTGGAAGTGTGAAAGCCTACCTTCAGCGCCAAAATCTGGCTTGAAAGATTTCTTTTCTTTGAAGTTCTTGTAGATCTTAACAAGAGTGTTGCTTTCTCGAGTCGCATATCTTCAGAGATAAAAGAATCAGCACCATTTTCAAGTGGATATGTTAAGAAATTCTGATCCATAAATCATTTCATATGGAGTACTTCCAGTTCTAAGCACACAGCCTCTACCTCAATAAAAATGTTCACTGACTTTAAAATACAGAGGCTTTACCAAAGTTTTGCTGACGCTGTGGATCATGAAGATTTCCTTTCCACCTAAATCTGACATATTGGTCATATCGATGCTACTTTGCTGAATCCTGCTAGACAGGGATTGCTCAAATGAAATTATTTTTCTTCCTCAAAGAAAAGTCAAACTTACTCAGATGAGTCATGTGACCAGACAAACTCCAGTGCAGAGCCAAAGCTCTTGTTACGGAGGGCCATCGCTGTGTAAATGATGTACTCTCCATCGCCACAAACAACCACAAACCTAGATAAAGGAACATCAACAATTCATCAACTGGAGACATGAATCGCACACACCAAGTCACTAAAACCAGCTTTGGGCATTGCTCTGTCAGAAGTTCTTTACCTACCTGCCGTTGGGATTGTGGCTGACTGTTTGTGGGTAGACATCGCAGCTGCCCATATCTTTGATGGCCAGAGGCAAACGTTCTCCATCCTTGATCTCCAAATCTACAGCACGAGATCAAAGAAAAGTTATGCACACTCACAAATTCAGAAAGAGCACTTTCTTTGAAAGAATTCTGTTTACATCCAACAAAGTGGGTGATTGTACCTTCCCTACTCTTCAAGTGCAATGTGCTTTAAAACAAAAAAGGAGCACCACATGAAATTATCAGAATCATTCATGTTGAGGGAAACTGCGGGAAAAGTGTGAGGTAAGACACTCTGTAAGATGCTCTTTACCTCCCATGGTCTTGAGGTTAGCCTGCTGTATCTCTGCGTGCTTGGCCCACAAGATCTTGCCACTGGAATCCATGGACATAGCTGGCTCCTCCCGACCGAGCTAAGACAAAGAACAAACACAAGTACTTCCATCACAGAACAAAAGAACTTTAGGAAAAACAAAAGGTCACAGTCGACATTTCCGAAAAATAAATAAGTCTGATCATTCTTGATGCTTAGATAAATTCAATTTTTAGTACAAGACAACTTTCCCCCAATCTTCCACTTCTATGATTTGAACTGAAATGGGGTTCACCTCACCAAATCTTAACATTAAGGTGACTGAGCTGCAGTAATTGAAGATTTTTTTTACTTTTGTGCATCTGAAAGTCTCTTGCATTGCAAAGGCTTCCCAAAAGCCCCCTGATTCATTAAACAAAACCCATGACTGTATTTCCTATAAACTTTTGAGAAAGAGAAAGCAGGCCGACGTCACTTGGAAAATTTCATTCTCTTTCCGCGCACCTTAATGATGATGCTTCCTTCGTCGTAGCCAAGTGCTATGTTGTTACTTCCCTTCATGTTGGCAATGGTCCATACTCTTTCCATTCCATAATTCAGTGTTGTCTCTAGACGGTAAGTGTTGGCATGCCAGATACGCACGGTGCCTGCCAAAAAACAAGTAGCAATACTTTCTGATAACGTGGACCACTTCAACAAGCAAAACGTGTACGATTAAAATTCCCAGATGAAGAAACTTGTAGGTAAATAATCCTGACATCTGGGAAATATTCTGAGAAGCAACCCTGCCAAACCTGTGCAGCAGTTTTAAGAGCTTGAATGGCATATGTGGTCATCATGGAAATTAGCTTAAGGGAAGAAACGCTAAACCCTTGCTCATCGAAGCATGAAATTCAAAAGTCTCACCATCTTCCGATCCGGTCATAATGATTGGCAGCTCTGGGTGGTAGCTGACACAGGAGATGTTCTGAGCATGACCCTCCAATGTCTGGACACAAGTCTTGTTCTGAAAACGGATACGGCAAAATGATAAATGAAGTCAACAGTGGGGACTGATCTTTCTTGAGCATTTGGCAGGGTATCTAGGAAGGGACAAATGACAGATGGACTGAATAAGGAGAAATATATTCAAACCTGGAAAACTTATTTACAAGTCACCGGTGCCACTTTTGAGTTTAAAGCCTTTAAAGTAATTTTAAACCACACAAATCACTCAGAACTCTAAACAGTTTGTATCCATTTAAACGCCTTTTTTGTTACCTGGAAGTCAAACTGAGTCATATCTATACACCAAAACCAAAACTCAGTATGCTCTGAGAAATACTGAAACACAATTACTGCCCAAATGGACTTAAACTCATTTTGTAAGATCTAGTCGCAGATGGTCTTTTGCTTTGGAAGGGGGGGGGGAGGCCAGGAGAAGGCTTACCTGATAATCCCATATCTTGACCAACCTGTCGTCAGCCCCTGACACCAAGTATGGTTTATCTCCCCCGCAGTAGTAATCCACACAGTTCACACCCTTCTCATGGCCTTCCAGGGTGAAGTTGGGAGTGCTGGACCCAAGCTGCCACACCTGGTGTAACAAATGGTACAGTCTTGGGTCATGACCTAGGTCAACTTTAGATTGGACTAGTTCTGCAATGCTTTACCTACGCTACCCAACAGGATAGAATTCTGGGATTTCCACGCAATGTCTGCTGACCAGGGTAAAAAAATATAAAAATTTGGCAACAATGCTGAATAAAATTTAACAAACTCTAACTTCCCTCCAGATTCCAACATTAAAGGAATCTTTTGCAAGTGAGTAGGCAGTTGTGGTGTAGGGATATCACATCTGTAGACTTTTGATGACTAACTCTGAATCTTCTGTAATACTTTGATGACAAAATACAGCAACTGCATCATCTTGGGACCAACCCTTACCTTGACTGTTCTGTCCAGGGAGGCACTGGCAAAGGTGTTGTTATCCTTGGGGTTGATGACAATCTGCATGACGTAGTGGGTGTGGCCATCAAAGACCTGGGCACAGTTCCATTTCTTGTCCCAATCCCAGAGCTTGATCAACATGTCATCTGCATAACAAAGTCAGACATTCTAGTCACACTTCTGTTGTTACGCAGGAGGCAGGCATGTCTCTCAGAAACAGCTCACTGAGAATAAATCCTTCCCAACAGCAGAGTTGAATCAAAATATTGCCTTCATTGTTGGCCAACATTTGCATATATTCTGAGATTCTTTATTAGCCAGATAAAATTGGCCAGAGCCAGATAAAATAAAGCCATGATAATGCAAAGATACAACTTCTTATGTAAGACTTACTTAAGGGATCATGTTACTCTTCAGGATCTGGTAGCTTTAGCTTAGGGGAATTTCAATTCAAATTGCATTTATTTCACAAGGCCAAATGGCTGATTGGTTTGTTAAGCTTTAAAACCAATCACTATTTCTTGCTTCATCATTCCAGAAATTTCATCTAACCCGTAGCTGGTTGAACACATCTTAAATCCGTTGATGGGCACATAAACAGATGTCAAATACGACTTCTGTTTTGCTGTACCATGAGTCCATTAGACTCACCGCTGCTTGTAAGTATGTAGGGCTGGGTTGGGTGAACACAAATAGATCGGATGTAATCCGAGTGTGCCTCAAATGCGTGAACTCGCTCTAAGGTGTTGTAGTTGAAGACCCGGATCTGCATGTCATCCTGCAGTCAAAAAACCAAAGATGGCAAAAACATTAGTATGAATGACTCCTACTGAACAGCAATTGGCAATCCTTCAAAGAACCTTCTCTATTTTCAGGAAATGTGCTTATAGATTAATCTTGGTATTTACTCAAGTGGGCTACCAACTGTATATGTCATTTCAAATCAACAATTCCAACAAGTTTTGTGAGTGTGTTTCAAGTATATTGCTACCACTTCCAAGACTGACGATTTCCAAAATCTCAAAATGTAATCCACCACTACAAGAAATAACACAGCTGATTAACACTTGACTTACCGAACCAGCCACAACCCAATTTTTCCGGGGAACAAACTTTGCAGCCCGGACAGGCAAGTCACAAACTTCAAAGGACTTGACAAGTGTCTGTTAAAAGAAACATGTTCAATTTGGCATCAGAGGTAAATTATGTTAAGTCGTGCACAACTGATCTTGTTGAAGTCAATGTTCATTACCTTCAATATTTATGTGATCTAGGACCCTATTACCAACCTGGGATTCATGATTCCATACATGGACATTCCCATTGTATAAGCTAGCCAGCATCCACGGCTCTGTTGGGTGTAGATCGACACACTTGACACGGTCAGACCGTGCCGACAGTCTGCGCTGTAGGTGGAAAAGTTCAGTCGAGTTCATATTGTCTTCAGAGTGAAAGTTTTACCAATAACTGCAATAATACTTAGCCTCTCTATACAGCGAAATGGTGGCAACAATGATGTGGGACATGTGGAAAAGGCATTCTAAAGAGATTATCTTTCTTATGCCGACTTACAAATTTACTTTGAACAAACATGCACGGAGTGATAACTGATTAACAAATAGTCGAACACTGTCTTACCTTTATATCTAGTCTGAGAGGCTGAAAGAAAAGAAGAGAAATATGTTTACACTGAAAAAATCAATAAATACTTGCAGAAATTCACTGGCCTTGCTTTATAGTTAGGCCTATCTATAGTTCGGGACCCTGTTCCTATAATAGAACAGAAACTTACTTTTTAACTTTTAAAAGTCACCTTACTAGATTACACTGTCTTCATGCTCAATAATTGCACGATTAATTTTATGGAAGGAGGGCAGTGTTTGGATTTATGAAGGAAATTTTGGAGTAAAAAATGGTGGTGTGTCAGAGTTGGGAAAAAAGGTAAGAAAGACACATATTTTAATTTATTGATCAAAATTCACAAAAATACGGTCAGAATCATTAAAAGAACTTTACCCGAGGTTGTACTCTTTTGCAGACGGACCTCTTGTACAAATGACAAAGAACAGGGGGGTCCCAAAACTTACAAATGCTTTAACGTTAGTTAGGGCTAAAACTTTACAGTTTAAAGTTGCTCAACAACTCATGAACCAAAAACTCTAGGTACAATAATCATTAATTGTTTATACAGTACAAACTCTGCAATAAAAGTGGAATAATTTCACATTTAATCTCCCATTCAACATGTTCAACCGCTCAACATATAGTGTCGGAAATACACGCTTTTTAAAAGCATCAAAGTACTCTGCCACGTCTGAATAGCCTCGGTATCTTCCAGGTCGATTCACGGTAACTTCAAAATCACAATCGATGATCAACTTACAGTCGATAACTTGAAATTATACAAACCATTTAGACAGAACAAACTCTTTAAAAGTTTGGGGATGTCAAGAATCGCAAAATGACATTTAATCGAGCTCAATTTCTTACCATCGTGTCCTACCGGTGTGTTGGTTGAACTGACGTGTCAAGTCTCGTAAAGGGATGCAAATCTCGCGTATTTTTCTTGATTTCAGAAAAGGAGCGCTCCATTTTATTAAAGGTGCCGTAGTTAACTATAGGCCTGGAAATAAATCAGTATGGAGATATTCAGGAAATCATATTATAAAACAAATTTGAAAACTGCATTATTTCATTTAATCTATCATTTTATTTGAAGTCCTAGTAGAACTACTTTTTTAAAAGGAAGGACGGGGGGGGGATTTCAAATATTTCCCCCTCCCTACGAGTTAATTCTTCTGGTCCAAAACATTCATCCACCATTTTCGAGTTGCATTCCATTTGGAGAACAGGAGAAAGCGCAGAAGTCATCGAATATTGTAAGAATTTTAATTTGAATAAAAATGAGAATTGTTGACATACGTCTTGAGAACACACCAGTTCTTGTATGGTTCACAATAGGTGCCTATAGCCAAATAAATGGTTTTAAGCAGTGGTGAAATGTGAGCCGAGTGTTAACTGCTGGGGACCAAACTATTTCAGTAATAATATTATTTACTGTCATAGACGTCGAGAATGCAGACATATTTCAGGGTATATGGGCCTGGCAACATTTATCAATAATAGGCCCCTAGGCCCTACTTGTTTTTTGTTTTAAAAAGTATTGCTAAAAATAGCACTTAAATTCTGAATCATTAGCACAGGGAGACAATGTAAAGATAGAATGAAACTGTATAAAGTCTTTCATGTATCTTTGGCCTGGCTTGTAATATTTGTGACCACACACTGGTGACATGGGGCCTACATTTGTGACATGTTGGAATTTGCTTTAAAATGATTAAACCTCATTAACATAAAGTATGTGAAAATCCCTTCAGCTGTTATTTGGTTTTGCCATGGTCCTTGCCCATAGTCTGCTAACCCTTGGTTGACATGGTTGACATAAAGTGCATTTGTACATGTACCTCAGCAAAAGAAAGGTCTTTCCTAAGACCTACTTTTGTTTTTACCGTGTTTGTGAATAGAGAAGTTCAAGTGGATGAAGTTACAAGATGGCAGGTCTCACACACCTTATTCCAGCCAGATTCCTGTGTATCATTGCCCACATGGTAGTTAGCATAACCATTCTGTGGTCCCGGGTAAGTTGGTTATTTTGTTCAAGGTCCTCTTTTGTGATGTGAAGGTAGAAGTTTGTTGTCTTTTGATTGAAGAAAGGTATCAATTTCAGGGTTCAGTTCATTTCATATTATTTGTTCAAACAGGATGCCAACTTGAAAGCATGTTTGCCAGCATCTTATTCTCAAGAGCAATATGACAGTGCTGATAGGGGGTGAGTTTTGCCTTCTGAATCTGCCTGGAGGTGTGGAGAATTTGGCAGGGTTGAGGAATACGGAGCTTAGCCACTGTGACTTTAATGTTGGCTTGATTCTCCCTAGAGATCAATTTGCAAATAACATTTCACCGGTTTCTTTCAAAGTGGGAAACTTTGGAGGATTTGGAAAGAGTGCTGAGGGAGTCAGGGTTGAATTTGCAGCTGGTTGTGTTAATTCGTTGTCATGAGGGTCAGTTTCCATCGTTTGTGACATGAAAGTGTACTTTGCCTTTATTTTTTTACAGGTTTCTAGCGGGATTAATTCTGTCACTCATCTTCATCGTCATGGAGCTGGCTGGCTTCATGTCAGGGGTCACCATATTTGTCAACATGGAGTCGCTCTTCTGTATCCTTTTAAAGATTATTCATTGAGCTTGGATTGGTTGAAGGCTGGTACATGGTCAGATTTCGAGCTTTTTATCCAAACGTGGTCACATTTAAAGTTTGGTTCTCTAGTACTTTCACTGTTTGAAGTCCCTGTAACATCGTTTTGCCAATCTCATGATTGTACAAAGAAGTGTTGAAATGTCAGTGGCAACTCAGTAGATAAAAATGAAAGATTTTTCCTTTTTTGCATCAACCCAAAGTAATTTTTGCGTATTTCAAAGCACCACCTTACCCTCAAATTAAAAATTATACTTGTGCTTCTCTTCTTTGATTGGCTTAATGCTTGCTGGTAGCAACAATCTACGCTTTTCTGTGTGTTCTTAACTTGGACCACTCTAGCCATCACTGCTCATTCCGTGGGAGCCGTATTTTTGTCCTACTTTCTCTTTGAAGTGTGGCCCTGTAACACTTACTGGTACATGTTTGGATGCTGCAGGTGAGTTACTGAATGGTCAAACTGCTGTGTGACTACATTCACTGTCTTGTTTAAAGTCGTCTGTCTCAGTTGTTTATGGGCCTTGAACTGGACCAAGAGAGGGCACGAATTTCTTAGCAACGGAGGCTCTTTTGGTGAGAACCTCACTTCGCTGGTTCACAAAGGAATATGAAATGCAGGCGTTGCGTAAGCATTGCTACCAACCAAACTTACACTTCTGACCAGCAAGGCTCTTTTCAACTGAAGAGGGGGTGCTTCTGCTCAAGGCTATCCGTCTGTCGGTGGTCATGTCATTTTCTCCATTCCGTTCAGTTCTGTGCCAGGTTTGCATTGATCTGTAGATACAAAAAAACCACAGAGTCAAATACGGTATTGTAACAGGAAATGGTGTGGAATGTTTTTTTATGTGTCTATTTGTATCTCTTCAGTGCCTTTCCTGCTGTGATAGATACTGGTGTGATCATTTCCAAGATCTTCTTCAACAAGTCAAGCTGATGAACCCAGGAACTCCAATTTCCCCCAAACAACCAAATGTACAGAAAGGTTATAAATATTATTCTCAGTTGTTTTCAACTCACAGAAATTGCAGAACCGAAATGGAAGTTATCTTCATTTGCTTTGTAATTAGTCATGGCTGAAAGTGATCAATCTTGATGACAAAGTTGCCACTGAAACTCATTTGCAGCCGGTAGACTTGAAGAATTCAATTCCTTGCAGGGCAAACCAGCAAATTCCGTCCATATTCTTTTTTAGACCAGAAAACTGTATCATAGTTAATTCTCCCATTTTTGAAGTTTTGCTATAGTGCATGGTGTGCAAGTATTTTACAGTGTATAGCGTTTTGAAATACTTCATTGATAACCTTTATGTATAATTGAAAACCTGTAAATAACTAATGCTAATTGCTTACTATTTATTGAAGTTAAATAATGTAAATAATTTGCTGTGTGAAACTTTGATCTTGGATTATATTGGTGTTTGCAAATGTCAAAAAGGGTGTTCTGAAAGGGGAGGGGCCAATGAAGCCATTGATTAGTCGATAAAAATTACTCTGTGAATTTCAGCAGTTTTGATAGCTGCAAGTAACGAGTTGGAAATGCAGAGCAAAGGGGCACAAATTTCAAAGCAAGCACTGGCAGCAAAATACGCAGTCCTTTTCCAAGAGACTTGAGGTATAATCAACACACTTGGATAGGGCTCACCCAGGGATAGATGACACAGTTATTAACACACTGAACATTTCTTGGTTTCTATGGTTTATTCAACTTAAAAAAAATCGACTGGGAAGACATTCAATTAAATATAGGAGAGATTTAAAGAGAAATATCAATTATGGTTCACTCTGAAAAGGAAATAGCAATGTTAGTATTCTGTACTTTTAGTTTATTAAAAACAAATACACCTGTTGCTAGAAGTGTTCCATGTGCATACCAATAATTTTATATGTATTTTACAGTCTTGTGCAGCTATTAAATAAAATTGTCCCTTCAGAGAAAAACATAATCTTGTCAGAGTCTAATTTTTTCAATTTGAATTTTTCATTCACAGATATAAACCAGAACAATCCAGCGTTAATTCACTTCAGAAATGTGAAATCAGTGCTCCGCCAGCCAGGCAACACTTTAGCTTGGGTCTCTTAATGCTAATGGCTTCAACAGAAAGTAAGCCCTATGCTTTGACAGAACAAGGCTGGCATGGTGCTGTATGCACAGCACATGAAGTATCTGCTACTTCTGCCTAACTAAATCATATACATGTACATACATTCAATCAAAATCAAGTCTCATCAAACTGGTCTCATACATGAGGAATATCGAAAGTACTGACATCACTACTCCTATGACACGTAGAAAAGAATTGGATAAAGTAATTTGCACTTCCAACAAAAAAAAACTCATACAATTGACTCATATTTTTTCAAGCACTACTAAAACAGAAAAGAAAAGGGAAACATTTATTTTAAAATGTCCCTTTCATGATTGCCACTCACTTTTCAAATAAATTTCAAGCAGAAAAATCACATTAAAAACACATTCAACACTGCATACACAGACGTAAACTACAACTCGGCTACAGATAACGTACTACTGGAATGCACACCTTGTAAATCATTTTTGCACACTTTTTTTTAACAAATTCCTCTGTGATTATTAAGGATAAATACTTGCTAGCACTGCAATAAACAGACGTCACACCTGCCAGGCCTTTTCCTAACAGGCAGCAAAATTGGAGGTCTCAAAAAAAAAGCTGCAACTGGTGCAGAAAAAACTAAATGCTGACTTTGTGCTCAACTTATTAAGCGCAACAGCAGATTAACATCAGTGTATTTTTCTTTTCTTTGTTTTCCTGTAAATAAGGTAAAAATCTGATTGAAAATTCTGAGAAAGTGACTGTGACATCCTTTACACTTCAACCAATCACAACCCTGTTTTGTTAACCCCATGCCTTGCTAGCCAATAGCAGGATTTGGTTTCTGACACTAATGACATCATCATACATTCCACCAATTGTCACAACCTTAGTTCGTGATGTCATCAAAGCTCTGGCCAATCACTATGGGCAACAATGTGCATTTACATATTAACTACAGGTATATATGAGGAAGTTCACAACAAAATCCTCTATATTAAAATCACACACGCCACAGTTATAATGGATTATAGTAAACAAAAACACCGAATACATACTTAACAGTCCAACTGGTGATGATTATGATAATTTTCAGAGAAATCTCTCTTGTACACTGTTAATTCTTATCACTCATGCAATTTGTGGAGAAACTGGGGAAAAAATTACATATTTTACAAATTCACAGAGTACGGTACAACTAGAATCTGTCGGAAGCTGCTATCATAACTTTACAACTTTTGTTTCCTTTATAAAATAATTCACAAATTTGTTGACCATACCTACAATAAATTACACATCATAGCAAAAGCAATATCCAGTATGTCTACGGGAAGTTATACAATGAAAATTGTCAACACTATGTATTTGAAACTTTATGCTATATGGTGTATTTTCATGTAAACAATTCTAAAATTCAAAACTTTACAAATATGTAAGAAACTTCATCTATTCATTATGTTACGCTCTACAGAAATATTCCAATGAAAGCACAGTGTTAACTTCATTTCACAGCAATTAACTTCGCATTCCACATCACGTACTGGGCAACTTCCACACGGGTATACAATATCGTCACCAATGCAAAGTATTTCTGGAAGATATGCCAAAATGAAGGGTACTAGGGGAAGGGCAATCTAATAGTCAGGGAGGGCGATTGGATGTAGTCTAGACAAAACCTCCACAACATTAAACTAGAGTGTAGAAATACTGACCTATCACAGACCACAACAGGGTGCTAGTTTTTGTGTCTGAACCCTCACAGCAAAGGTTGACGTTCAGCAATCTGTAGTTATGTGCACTTCAGTCCGAGGCCATTTTTTGACCAAAAACTCACAAAGTGAAAATGATCGAGGCAGTAACACATTCCATTACAATGGTTCTTTCACTGGCTAAACACACTTTCTCACCAACAAAAAACCCACATGGTTCCAAACCATATCAAACTGCCTTTTGGGATCTAACCTAAACAGTCCAAAAATGCTGCAAAGGAACTGAGTTCTTCCCCTACTATCAAATCCGGTTGCGTTTGTTTAACATACCCTGGTTGGATAAAACTTTTTCTTAAAAAGAAAGTTTACACATTTGATAATAATCAAAGCAGAATGCCCAAACCCTTGAGTATAAATCCAAATTGTTTTTGAAAGTGCCTGCATTTTTGCACAAGGTTCAGGAAGCATTCATGAGATCATCATCTTTTCCGTGGTGGTCTCTAACCTGGATCATAAATATCACCAATGAGTCAGATTAGCATCCACATTTCAATAGAAATGACACACTACAGGATCAAAGGAAATCAAAGGAAGTTGTGATAGCAAATCCAAAAATATTCTACCTTAAACAGCTGGTGCTGGCATTCCACTTGATTCAACTGGTATTTCTAATCAGTATATGAAAAATGAAAGTGGTATTTGGGCCCAAGATTTTTTTTTATTTTGAACTATTTTCCTCTTTTTTTTGCAAATTTTCAAAAATATTCATTAGTAGTGTGTTACATAATGGTGTAAACAATGTCAAGTAATGACACATACACGTACAAAAACACCCTGGGAAAGTTGGTTTACAACAGTCACACTGCCAGAAATCGAATGGAGAACAAATTCACCAAACATTGCATAGAGATACATTAACTACGGTACAAAATGATAGGCTCTGTTTTGGTCAACAATAGTCTAACTTTAGTTTTCAATTCTCAAATTTTGATTGATGAAAATGTTTCTTTCGGGGATTTAAGTACTTGTGGTTTATCTTTCCATCCAAAGAGTAGAAAGATCACTACATCATTGATCAGTGTGAATGTCTACTTGGAGGGGAATATTCTTAGACTTTTGGTGAATATATTCCTTGAAATTTGATTAGTTTTCTGGAAGCCAGAACGGCACAACACAAAGGAAGACTAAACTATGTGTACTACAATGCTGTGTCTAAACTACGCATACACAATGTCTCAGTATGTTATGAGTTATTTAAAAGGAACAAGAAAGTGTACAAGTATTGATAGTTGGAAGAAAATATTACTACTAAGGTTTCAATGACAATGATTGCCAACAGTTCACAAAATATGCATTGATTAATGAATAAGGTGGAAGAGAGAGTTACTTTACAGATTTTTTGATAGATAGAATTTTGAGTTATTAATTACAGATGACACTGATAAAGAGAAAATTAGATTCAGATATTTGGAGAAGATTTACAATTTATACAAGGGTTATTGCTTTGAAGAAATAGTATTTAATGTTTTGATTTGCTCTTTCTGGCAAATGCCATAAATACTCAATACAAACAGTAAGTTGAGTTATCGCTTAAAGATTACATGCATGTATGTGTCTGCGATTAAATGCTGTCAGCTGAAACCAAATACACAGCATGATGTACTTTTGGATTTAAATTTGAAAGTAGACCAGCTCTTGCAGCAAAGCTATCTGCCCACAGACCAATTGCTAGAAAAATTTTGGAAGCTAACCACTTCCTTGATAACCTCTGGACCCACAGAAAACCAAATGTCTGATGCAAGCAAACTGTTGTGGCTGGAAAGTCTGGTAGTATTCAGAGACAGCTGGGAAGATGCTTCAGCAATGCAGTTTCAAAACATTGTCACAATATGCAGGAAAACTGGGTAACTTTAAATTAAATGCAACCTATTCTTGCATACCAGGTTTGAGGGGAAATTGTTCCAAGTCTAATAATAGGCATAACTCTTAAAACTTTTCTTCTCTCCAATGTTGGTTATAATTTTTGTTTCAGAATAATTAGATTTTGATAAAACAATAAAATCACTCTTTAATACTGTTATTTTTCTTCAACTTTTCCAGCTAACACTATTTACAATCGGTCTACAGTTTCGCCTTGATAATCCTCTGTACAATGTTATTGCTAAGATAAGCATTATCCATTCACATTTAATTCACATGACACTTATTTGTACATATTGCTCTATGTTAAAAGACTTCAAGAAGTACAACAGCATAATCATCACTGAAGATACAGAGACAAGAACAAGTCAATTATAATTTTTTTTTTCGATTCGTTGTTTGTCTACTACAGTTGAACAATCATTTAGACAATCTTTTTCGTTTCCAGTGAAGCCATAATTTCTGACACATCATAAGGGCCAATCATTCTGTCAAATATCACATGATGCATCATATAGATTCGTCGTGTGATGCCGGTATCAGTCACATGACCTGTTTTTCAGGAATTTACATGCTCATGATTAAGTTTTCACAAAGAAAAAGGGAAAGTAACACAGCTAAAGTAATGTCTCCATTTCGAGAGCTCATCAAATATAGTTTACCAAGTGTTGCTTGCCTTGAGATATGTACACTCCCGCAAGTAATTAAAAAACTGTCTCATATTTTTGGGTTTTTTGTAGGAAGGCCTTTCGGTTGGCACTTTGGATGTTTCTAAAATAATAAAAGCCATAAAATAAAACATTCTGGTGCAGAAGGAAGACAAGCACAGTTATGCTCAGTGCAACGATGCGAAATAAAAAAATCTCTTTGTTTGTCAAAATATATTGTGACTTTATTTCTCTTTCTATCGGATAGACATGAAACTTAAACATATTGCTGGAATCTTCCTGTGTCAGAACTGGAACAAATCTTGAGTTTGTATTACTTCAAAATAAGCTGCCACAATGTGGAAACACTTTTAAGGGCATTATAACTTTACAAACTACTTGCATATACGACTTTCTAATTTAAGGTTGTATTAATTGGAGAAGACATTTTTGTACTATAGGTCATCTTCTCGTGCATATTTTATAAAACTTTATGGCAGTAGGGAGTTGTTAATATGATGCTTCTGGGACCCCTTAAATTACTATAATTCATCATTTTTCTGCGGAGGTTACATGGCATATCCAATGAGCTGGGGAGGTACTTCTAAATGAACCAGTCAAATGTTCAACCTTGCACCTGTGGCACACCTGTGATGCACCCGAGACTTGCCACTAACAAGCTTGTTCCACCTGTGCTTTTGAGGGACCACCTATGCAGCGAATGCCACCCCAGGCTACCATCTTGCCTGTCCTGCTTCATTTCAACACAACCCTGCTGAATCTTGATGCACCTTAAAGGCACCAAGTGAGAAGAGTGATTTATCTTTCTGCACCTACTAGGCTGCATGCACCTACTAGGCTGCATGCACCTACTAGGCTGCATGCACCTACTAGGCTGCACGCACCTACTAGGCTGCACGCACCTACTTGGCTGCATGCACCTACTTTGTGATAGAACATCGACCGGTCATGCACACTGCATTATACTGCATCTGTGACTTACATTCCCCTACAATAAAACCAAACTATGCACCTAAGATACAACGCAAATGCTTCTGAAGAGTGCCTACTATGCAACTGAAGTGTACCTAAGATGGGCCTTAGGGATGCACCTATGATTCACAGGGAACAAACCAAAGTATCTAGGTATCTATGATGCACAGGGGTGACCAATGAGAAATGCGACTCGTGCCAGTTGACTTCACCTTGGATTGCACATGATCTGCCATCCCGACTCACTAGACGCGTACATTGAGCATGTGTCTCCGTCTGTGGGTCTCCATCTGAGTCATCCCGATCACACCTTGCGTGCACCCGTCTCTATTGCAGTGGAAGTGGGAGTACCTCAGGGTGTACTTGCAACCCATGAAGCCGCAGGGCTCGGCGCTGCTGTACTGCTTGAAGCCTGCCGCTGAGATGGTGTCCGTCTTGGCGTGCTGCTTGCGATGCACCGCCACCTTGCCCGAGTCCGTGCAGACGAAGGTGCAGCGTAGGCAGTGGAAGTGGGTGCTGTTGCCTTGGTAGGGACAGCTGTCCTGCTCACACTCGTGGTTGGCCTTGAAGCGCCGGAAGTCGTTCTGGATGATGCTGTTGACCCGGTCGTGGTGCTGGGCATGCTTGTACATCATGGTCTTGCCGGCGAAGCGGTAGGTGCAATCCTCATGGAGGCAGTGGTAGTGAGTGGTGGTCATGTTGAACTGACAGGCGTCCTCACCACAGGACTCGCTGCGGTCGAAGCGGCGGAACCGGTCCATCATCATAGAATCTAAAGGTCCCCGTTTATAGCGCTTGTATCCCGAAGGGGCTCCTGGGTCCTCCTCGATCAAATTTAGAGACCGCTTACGAGATGTCGGCACCATTCCGGCATACGCTGCCTCCGGATTCTTCAGAGCCAGAGATTGGTACTTGAGCTGAACCAGGTCGTCATAATTCTGGCTGGTGCTTGGCTGTGCTTGGTTACCGTTGACATCTTCGTCGTCAAGTGGTGACAGTGGGATCATGAATGGCGGCAATGGCTTGGAGGAACTGGTCGGAACTGTGGGATTGATCATTTGGATTGGTACTCCGACCTGATTGACCACCCCCATGTTTCCGACACTCATCAACCCAAGACTGCCGGCATTCATGATGGCTGCATTAGTTGATGACATACTGGGCACCACGCTCGGTGTCAATGAGGGTAGCGTAAGGATGGGCGCGGCACTGGAGAACATAATCTGGTTGGACACAGCTGACGAGAAGGGTACTGAGCTGGCCGAAACCATGGGTATGACAAGCTGCTGTGGACCTATCAGAGAGCCTCCGGGCTTGTTGAAGTGCTTGCCGTAGATGCGTCTCATGTGTTTCCGGCCATGGCTCTCCATCTGCTGAATCTACAAAGAGAAAAGATACAACAAGAAATGATGTCAATAAAACAGGTGGAGTGGAAACTTCACAAAATGTCCAATGTATTTCATGGTGTAATGTAAGAGTATAATGTAATGTGCACCTGTAAGAAGGAGAAATTGCATCCCTGATGAAGACAGTGATAGTGCTTGTTGAGGAGGTTGTATTTACAGCCTGGTCGGCGACAGTCCATCTTACGACTCATTTGCCGGAAGCTCTGGAAGATGACGCTCTCGTTGACCTTGTGGTCTCTCAGCATGTCCTGGTTCTCAGTGGCAAACTGGCAATCGCCCCGGGTACAGTGGTAGTGGTGCTTGGCTCGGTGTGGGCAGTCTTCCACCGTGCAGACGTCGGGCTCGCAGGTGATGAAGCCTTCACCTGATGCCACCCCCGGGGAGGAAGTACTCGGAAGTAGATCGGTCACCGGCACCGAACCGGGGACCTCGTTAGCATCACAGCTCTGGGTGTGAGTCGCGGTGGATTTGGAAGCTGGAGCTAGGGTGGTCGGGGCCTTGAGTGTGCTCTGGGCTTGGGCCTCGGAGAAGCTGACTGCTGAGATGTGAATGGATTCCAGCTCAGGGTTCATCTTGTGTTTCTCATAGTGAGGTTTCATGAGCGAGCTACCAGTGTGGACGACCTCGCCACAGTAGATGCCAGGTTTTAAGCTCTGTAAGACGAAAAGTTGAGTTTATTAAAAGTGCAAGAAACTTTGAACTACGGGTCACTGGGGTAAAAGTCTTACTCGGGACTGTTTATTGAAGCTTTGAATCAAGCCCTTCTGCAACTGATCCAGCTGCGGGTGTTTTGAGTTGTCAGCTTGCAGACGATTCAGCTCCAACAACCAACCCTGCTGTTGATGACGCTGCAGCTGATGTTGTTACCACTACCACCACGTATGATCTTGCTGGTACCCTGCTGCCATTACGACAACTGTTATTTGTTAACTTTGCTACTGGTCGTCATGCACACTCACCCACATGCAGTGGTAGTGAGCCAGCGGACTGAATGAGCATCCTGGAAACAGCTCCTCGCAGCTCTCTCCTTGCTGGAAGTACTGGAATCCCAAATCACTGGCTTCGTCTGATAGCATGTGGTATCTGGGACCAATATGAAAGAATTACACTGCTGACAATGTCAAAAGGAGCACTTGGTACACAGCCAAAATAACTGCACCTATTCTTGTAAACCAACATCTATAAATGACGTAGGGCGCCCTCTTTTGCTCTATGGTCAGCCAAAAAACCAAAGTTTGGTAAATATCATACACACACTGCATACCAAACTGAGATCACTTCTTTCCAGCACCGATTTGTGTACATGACAGCAATTTCTTCTAAATCTTTCCAAACAAGAGCTGGAGATTACTGCCAGTCAACAGAGGGTGCTCTGTAACGTTACAGGTGCGGGCAGCAAAGGTCAAGTTCAATCTGCAGCCACTTGCCAATCCCCAAAACAATTTTGCCACGTTTAAACCAGTACATAAAATAAATCCTGGATACAAGGGAAAATCAACAGGCGATTGATTACTGGGCACTAATTGAACATGGCTGAACAGCCATGTCTGCATAAAACGACACAGAATTCTACCGGGTTTTGGTAGAATTAATATATCAAACAAACTTACTGCTCCAACGGTTCTACTGCAATTTTGGACATTGTAAAGATTCACAACAATCGAACAACCATGCAAGTGAAAGGAGATAAGAACTCACAAGACCACAAAACCATGAGAAACACTAGTTTGTTCGAAGACAAATTTCCCGATTTCCAGTTGACCTTCCTTGTCTTGTTTGGCCTTTATCAAGAGTTGCCAGGGCACTCTGCAAGCGTCCTTCTTCCGTGGACTCTGGTCTGAAGTCACATACGGAACACACACTCATGCAATTCACAATCTCACATCGTCCTACAAGACCACTTCAGTGCAACTGTGCTGTCTGTATCGTCCTTTTTCATTTGTTGAAAGCACTCAATTTTAGCCGATTTATTTGTACACTTTTCATATCAAGTACTTCATGGTTACTTGTACTCTTGTTTGTTAATGCAGCTTGAAAGTTTGAGCTCCTATGCAGCGTGTTAGTTACATGTACATGCAGCTTGCTTGGCTTGTACATTGCCTATCATCTCCAGTTTATGCATAGCATGCTTGTTAGAGTCTGTACTTTCTTCTAAATGCATGTTCATCTGCTCTGTGCATAACTGCAACTTAATAGGAGCTGGATCAATGATTTGGCTTCCTGCTTTGGCAACAGCACCATACTGGATCAGTTTTCGGTATAGTGAAGTCAACCACAGTACATGTGCAAAGCAATTCTAGCCCAAGACACATCTGCAAAAGTTTGGTATGATGGTTATGCTAGAAAGCAGGAGTTCCGTCTTTGCAGTTTGCATCTAATCTCATGTGGTGAAAATTTTGCAGTCCATCCATTAACAGCATACTGCAAGAAAATCCCCCTGGATTAAGAACAGCATTTCTTGACCTGTGATACTGACAGAAATCCCCTTTTATACACAAAGCAGATAAAGCATGGCTGATTATCTTTAGCCCCTTGTCTTTTTTTTTTTTTACCTAGCATGCTTGTTAACGCCCTCTTTGGACTTGTAGACTGCCCCACAATCCTCCACCTTGCAGTGGTAGTGATCTTTGTATAGCAGCTCACAGCGAGGTCGGCAGGGGTCATTGGCTGTGAACCTGTACGGACCAAACCAAATGCCGGGAGAGGGGGAGATTTCAAAGCAAATGCAATTTTCTTTTCGGCGTGATGTCTCTTTCTCCCCCCATGGTGGTGCATGTAGTTACAAACAACAATCCAACAAGGTACATGAAAGTAAAAGAATGGATTTCGCGATGTCTGGAATGAAGAAAATACGACAGAAGTCCCCCCCAAAAAGCTGGTGGTCTTTTTCACTAATGTATGCGGAGACAAGAATTCCATTGATGGACAAAATTGGGGGAATGATTTTGAAAAGCACCACTACATTGCAACTGGCTGTCCCACCAATAGTAAGCAACGAGTAGAAGCCATCTAATTTAAAAAAAAAGTATCTATTCGTGACGGTTTTCAAGCTGACTACATGTTGGTTAGAGTTCGTTCTGTGCACCATGCAAAACATAAAAACAAATAATATGGCACTACCAAAAGACAACGAAATACACTACACTGACCATGAGCCTTTTATAATCCTCTTTACAGAAGAAGGCAATCTAACTGCATTATACGCTACAATGTGTCAGTTGAACGGAGCAATTTTAGCCAATAATGCAGACCAGCATTGACTCTATGGCCACCTAAAGAGAAAATACCATAGGCCCCAAGCTGGACCAAGACAGGGTACATTTCCTGGCAACAGAGAGGTCCTTTGGTGGGAACTGCACTTCATTGGTTCACAAACGACTATGAAAGCATGCACTGCGTGCGTGTCGATACCAACAAAATGAACACTCCCTGACCAGCATGGCTCTTTTCAACCGATGAGGGGGTGCTTCTGCTCAAAACAGCTGCATTTTAATTTAGTTGGCTCACTGGACATTCAAAGCCAAGTTAAAAACCAGCAACTGCAACAATGACTGATAAAGTTGGCGTTGAGGTCAGGCCATCCGGTGTTTTGAGTTGACTTGGCACTGTCTTTATGCACAATACGCAGCCGCAATGACCGGTGCAGTGATCACTAGCCAATGCTACGAAAATGCAGAAAAACTACAGTGTCAGAGCTGAGTGTCTCCAAAAAATGCACAAAGGATTATAAATGGCTCGTGGCAGGGTAAAAGTTATAGTGGTATAGAGTTTGTGAAGACATGTTACAGTGTGTTAGACCAATATTCTAGCCATGCAACTGTGAAACAAAATGAATCACATGACATTAAACTGCGGTACAACAGAATCAAATGAACGAACTCAATGATGAAGGGTGTAGGTCACTGCTCATCCAGGTTGTCGGCGACACCCTGCTTACCTCTTGAGGTACTTCTGCCAGGGTTCTTCCGGTTTACCCTCCTTGGTACCCGAGCTGCTGAAGGTGTTGCTAGCGGCACGGCCGGGAGCTGCATTGCTCTGACTGGCCGCTGTGGCCAGGGCGATGCATGCTGCTGCTGCTGCCGCTGGCGGGGCTGGGGACGAAGAGGTAACTGACTCCCTGCCCATTCCAGGATCTGTCAGTGTAAGGATGACATTTTGTGCCTGGATAATGGAGGGTTTTCATCGGGTGCCATGTTGGAGTACAGGAGTGGGTAATTGTTGGCCGTCATAGCTGCTCTTTAGAATTCTCTCAGTACACATAAACAAGCATGTTACTTTGGGCAATGATGAACATTTCAAAAAAAGAAATTATCCACATCAAGCAAGTTCAAGCCAAAAATGGACCTCAGTTGTGACGAAAGATTTTCTGGGAATTCTGTTCAGCAAGGAAAACAGAAAAACCACCAAAATATGTAATTTTTTTACCTATTTGTGGAGGAGAAATGTGAGAGGCAACCGGCAAATTGAGGGAGTCACTCAGTCCTTCCTCTTCAGCCATTCCTCCTGAGCTGATGCTGACAAAAGCCGATGGAAGCTTGTCCGTCTCTGCAGTCGTCGTGGTTGTTGGATTACCGGCCACAGTGATGGGGGTGAGGGCTGACTGGGAGGTAGACGCCACCATGGAGGGAGACGAGAGGTAGTCCAGGGGCTTGACTCGCTGGGGCAACACCGATCCGTCCGCCTGTATCAGCACGGTCTCAGGGACGTCTCGGAGGCGCTTCAGGGCGGACATGCTCGGGGTTGGCTTGGGACGGATCAGCCGAAGCGAGAACCCTCGCTGGTGGCGGGCTGCCTCGTACTCCAGGATGCGCTGGCGCCGGTCGTGCTTACGCTTGTGGGACTGCATCTGGTTGGCCGCAGTGAAGACAAAGCCACAGTTCTTGCGGATGCAGTGGAAGTGGTTGGTGTTGTTGGAGTATTTGCACCAGTTATACTTGCATTTCTGAAGTGATGCAAAAAAGGGCAAATAACATCCAATAAACAGAAGTGCCACTTGTTTCCAGTCTGGAAACTGAACACACAATAAAGCTGGGGTTTGAAGCTAGACTAGAAAAGCAGTTGGAACATTACCGTCAAAGGTGGCAGATCTATGAAAATTTGAATGGATGCCAGAAAATTAGTCTTGAGCCTATCTTTCAGTAAGTTTGTTTCAGTTTGCATGAAAAAGAACAAGTTGAGGTCTCAGCTTCTGTTTATTATTCAGTTTGGTATGCTGATGGAAATGGACATTGTGTAGGAGAAAAATATGGAAGGTTCCTGACGATTTCCATTTACTAGGATTCTTTTTAAAGCCTGTACAACATAAAAGTGGCTCTGGCATCTTTTCACTCATTTTATTGGGCTGGCTCGAATAGGTGAAAACATTGGAAAACCAACCTCGTGTTTGCTGAATTTCTTGAACCCATCCTTGCGGTAGATGTCATCCTTGATGTGGTAGGTCTTGTGCTTCTCGATGTCGCACTTATTCTTGAAGACAAAGTCGCAGCCTGGGCGGCGGCAGTGGAAGTGTGTGGTCTTATGGCCGTAGAAGGTGCAGGTGGGCACGCCGCAGTCCTCCGTGGCCCGGAAGCGCTGGAAGCCCTCATTGATGAGGGACATGTTCTTCTTGTGGAAGTTCTCGTGGGTCAGGACATCGGAGGTGCTAGTGTAGACCTTGTTGCAGCCACTCTGATTGTTTGTGGAGGTTGAAAAACAAAATTTAATAATATGCCTCAAACAAATTCTCAGATTATCTAATGCCATGAGACTTGAGTTCCACCACTTTGGACCAAGTGTAAGTCCAACCTAGCCTGACATGCATCAATGACATGCTTTCCATCATGACTCCATGTATTTCACTCTGTGGTTAGTTTTCAGGAAATACTTTTATCAGGTTTTCTTTGAAAGTCTAAAAGCAGACATTCTTTCCAGTCCAGGTATTTGTAAATGTATACATGTAGGAATGCCAGCTACACACTGGTTCATAACACCAATTGGTGTTATGAAGATCTTTAATTTCAGTACAGGAAATGAATAATAATAGATATATCAGTCCATTCCAGGAAAAAAAATGCAGGTGGTATTGTAACTAATCCTCCAATTTAACAAATATCTGGTGGTGACAAATATTTTCCTGGACTAAACGTTCCTGAAATTAGACTTAAACTTTGCTCTTTGAAGGGCAAGACAATTTTTCAGGGTCAAGGGCACCTCTGTTAGAAAATGAAATAATAGGGAGCCACTTCAAAAGGCTCCCAGGCAAACATCATTGGCAATGACGAGGCAGTCAAATGTAATGCCTCATTACAGTTCTACAAATGATCAATCTCAGCTGTAAAGCACCAGATACATATACCTTGCATGATGTTAACTCTTCAGGCTGCATGGTACCCTTTAAACACGAGGTACATTTCCGAGTTTGCGAAGGACAAACCCAACTCCCACGCCCAGTCAAGACTCCCTAGATGTATCTGTACCATGTCAGACAGCTGTTTACACAAATCATGTGATGTGTATGTGCCATGAGGTCAAAAATAGGGTTAAGGACCATGCCCCAACATAATATCATGGCAAAGCCGATGTGAACTGTTTGACTTGTTTTTTTTTTTTTACAAAAAAACCTTTGATCCTGACAGTATACTATAAAAAACCTCTAGTAACAGAAATTTATGCACAAAACACCCAATTAGTATTTAACAGGCATACAATGTACATGTCCCGTATGTGAGCATCAGGTAATGTGACTTGTCATGGATATCAATGCACATGTAAATGAAGACTTTTAGATACAGGTGCAAATTGGAGAAAATACTTGCTGAGCAAAAACAGGTTACCAGCCAAAATGACATGCACACTACTTGTAGCTGCAGGTTCAAAGCTGATACTTACCACATACTGTAGGCCATGTCTGAATTAGCTTGGCTATAGCTTGAAAGTACACATGGCTATCATATACTCAGTGTAATTTCAAGCTGCAGCCAAGTGATACGGACAAGGCCATAAACTAGGTTTTTTGTTTTCACAAACTGTGATGAGCTTACCTGTAAGCAATGGTAGTGGGTATGCTTGAGGTTGATGGTGCAATCTGGGTAGTAAGGACTGCAGTTATCTGAGGGGCTGAAACGCATGAAGCCATGCTGGAGGGAGTTATCGCGTCTCTTGTGCCAGTTATAATGACGGACGACATCCTCCTTACGTGTGAATCTCTGGAACAATGACCAATGAATAGTGCTGCAGCTTAGAATGATGTCCCAACATCTTCAATCGTACCTTCTTGATCAATGCTAATAAGTGCATGTACCGTATGGCGATTTGGTGCAATACATGACTTAGATTGGGTCTTGGTTTGGAGTCCATTTTGGATTAAAAAAGCCTGTACATCATCAGTTAAACAGTGAATTAATATTCTTGATTTTTGGTACTAATCACTTCAAACTGAAACTGTCTACGTGCAACTGGACATTATAAGCTTGGTTTATACATGTGAACAAGAATTGAATAAGAACTGATGTCATTCATCCTGAAGTGAAACGAAACCATTTCTATTTTGTATCTTGGACTGAAACTTGACTACAACCTGAGCCTTCACTTGTAACCTGTAACCTGACCAATGCTACTTGTGACTGTTGGAGACGAGACAGACACCAGAGGACTCACTGTTACAGGACTTGTACTGTGAAAATTTTTGACTACAAGCCCCCCCCTCCCCAAAATGACAATAGAGAGACCCATGTGGATAGGTTAATGTTGACAGTCACCTTTCATTCTCAAAAGTTTTCTGATTTGGAAATACGTATCATTGTTTTCTTGTTTTTCTTGCTGTTTGTTTCTTTTCGAGGTAAGTTTTATGGCTTGGGTACGTGTGTATCCATGTACATGTGTTATGAATGAATCATTGATGACTCAATAATAGATGATCTTTACTTAAATTTGAAAGCATGTTGTCCTCATTTTTTAAATTTACTTGAACAGGAAATAACAGAGAAGAAATATGAAGCTCATGACCTACAAAATCACATGGTTTTGAAGTGTTCTTTCCTGAGGCATCGACTATTTTTGTTGCGATTGAAATCTGGCCAGAGACTGTTCAGCAAGAAATCGTTTGACTTCATCAAGAATTATTTTGCCTTTGGATCTGGGACACTGCTGAGCATGTGTAGATGTACATGTACATGTACATGTATGTCAGTATATATGCGTTCCTCAGTACGGTTCTCAGCCTTTCTGGCCAAGATAACAAACTGGGCAGAGTTGTCTTGGGTTCCTAGCACAAGTCGCAATTCACAGGCGATGAACAAGAACAAAACAACGGGTGCCATTTTAAGGAAATGGACTTTCCACCAAATAATCACCACAGGTTTTGAGGGCTGTAAGTAGCTTAGGGTCTGTGGTAAACAGTTGTGTTTGCCTCAAGGCACCCCTAAATTAACTCTTATACAATGTACATAAAAACACCTTAATGGTAAACTCATACTTTTCCAGATGTAGGTTTGAAAAATCATGAAAGCTAGAAAATCCTGATGAAAAAAGCCTGAAATCAGGAAAATTCTAAAAAATCTCATGCCTTCCTTAACTACCTCTGTCACAGTTCTTCTGGACAGCTTGTGACTTGGATTCATCATTGGCTCATGGTGAGCTTTGTGAGGACTCAATTTGAAACCTCCAAAAAGATAATGTTTCTCATTTTCTCTGAATTCCTTATTTACAAAAACTAACTGAGGAAATTGTTTCAATTGACAAATAGCTACTGTTATCCATGCAAAGGAAGAATTCTTCGGACTTTGAAATAAGATCCACTTCCAGCTTTTTTTATCAGGCTGGATACAACACCAAATATGGGGAAGCCATGGGGTTTTTGCAGATAGCACATTTCCTACTCGGTGATCCGCTTGACTGTGTAGCATTTCTAGATCCTGTTGGCATGCGGGCATGTTTTGAATTTTAGCTGAAGTTTTGGGTTACAATGTAACAATGGAATCTGCTCTGTTTCCTGAAGTCTAAGCTTGAACTTTAATCTTTGTCAAATACTTGCCAAGATGTCAAACGAGAGGTTAGATCAACAATGTTTTCATGTAGCAAAATTTGGTTTCAAGATTCGGATTTGTTAAATAGCACACTGGGCATTTTTCAAAGTTTACTGAGTATATGTCTTATTCCAAAATGGGCTTTTTTCCTTACTTGTAAACGCTCCAAAAGATTTGTTTTCCATTTATTTGAGTAAATACTGACAAAAACCACAAATACATAAGGTTTGATTCCTAAAGTCAAACTTTTACCTGTGCTTCTTGCATACAGGCAATGTACATGCATGTGTAAGCATGTCTTACATGGGCATGTACCTAAGGTCACTCTCATTCCCAGAAGTAAAAACAACTTAACAAACTCTAATCTTTCATGATCCTTCAGACTCCACCAGGAAATTTGGAGGATTTTGCAGGAAAGTATAAAGAACATGTCACTGGTTTTCCTGAACGTTGAATAATTTGGATGTTTTAAGAAGGTTTCAACAACAAATGTTCAGGAAATTACATGCAGATTTCACAGGGTTTTCACTTAGGAAGTATTCAAAATAAAATTCTAGCAAAGTTCACTTCCCTGTTTAAGAACATTGCAACACTTTTCAAAAGATGACTGCACAAATCACATGCTCACCGTCTCAGAACAAAACTAAGAACAGAAACTTATCTTAAAGAAAAATGTATCAAGGCTGGAGACTTTCTTTAAAATCACAACTACAGTGTGTGTATATGTACATGCCATTTGACACAAAAACATCTGGAGTTTTGTTGTAAGATTAGACCAGGCAATTATTATCATTTCAACCAGACCTTCAGGCAGTGAAAGACAAGTTCCATCGAAGAATAAGTCCTAATTCAAACAGGAATTTAACTAAATGGCAAACAACGGCAGAACAAAAACAGGAAAAAGACTTAATTTCCTAAGCTGGAGAATCATAGAAACCAGACTCTCACTTTCACTACTGCTCTTTTTTTGCTCATATTATTTCGTTCCAAATCGTGTGGGAAGTCGACAATTTCCCGTCATTGTGCAGCCGCTTCCTTTCTTTCAATTTCCCCACAAAGCTACTCAAAAATCTGGCTCCACTCTCCAATCGCATTATTTGGTCTTGTTTTTTTCTGCCGAGTTGCACAGCAATCAGAGCTTCTGCTTTGATACTGGGAGGAAGTGGTATTAAAGGGGATAATCACTACTGGAAGTGACTGATGAAAAGCTGGCCTTTTTTGTCTAATTCCTCGGCAAAAAAAAAATAATAAATTAACAAACAATCCCCGAGAGGAAGATGAGGCATTCTGTGATTCATCTTTAAAAGTTTCTTATTTTTATGATGAACACTGAGAGTGCCTATTGTTCTCGGAGTGAAAATGAATGATAACACTGTTGACTCCAAGCAGGCCCTGTAAGTGGTGCAACTGAGCCTTCTTGCAAGAACCATTCAGTGCAGATCACAGTGCATTCACATACTAGTTTATCGCTACATGATGCAGAGAGCCAACAGCTATGGCTATGTCTAAATGCTATGGCTGTGGATGTACACTGTATATGCACCTATGGAAGCCCCATGGCTACCGACTGGGGGTGCTTCCCATGTACATACATGTATGTGTAGGAACCTGTACATGTACAGGGGGCATGACTATTTGAATGAGGCCTTAAGAGACACAGCAATATTTTTAGTTTCTTCGCACAAGTAAGACCTCAGTGTGAATGTACATGTCAAGTACAGTACAGTATATGTTCCAAATTCAAGACTTCTACTATCCGCTCCGAGCGGAACAAAAGAGGGCGTGTTTTTATTGGTGCTCACCGCATGGCGTGCCATGAAGAGCACAAATACCGGTACATGCGTGTTTGATGCAGAGCACGCGTAACTAATTCATTCCGGCATGTACAATATTGGTCTTTGCGTACACGCAGAACGCGTGCAAGAACCCGCTTGTAATCACCTGTCTTTCTTTTGCTGATTGGGGGCGCACTTCAGCTCAGAGCGGATACCACTACTTGCCACACAAAACTTTCTTTAGCTCTACCAGTAAATGTATTTAAAACCTACAAAAAATGATCACTCCATTTCCCAAGTTGTCTGTTGTATGCCTTTAAAATCCTCCATCTTTTCCATGCCAACTTCCCTGTCCCGAGGCATTTGGATTCTACTCAAGTCCCTTCCTGAATTTTTCCTATCAATATATCTGCACACTGTGCAAGGGGAAATCAAGCCATCTTATAAATGTAACTGCTGGTTTTAAACTTTTTTGTCTTGTGATTGGGTAATGTATAAGTTTCAAGTGTTTTATTGGTTTATTGTATTTTACTGGTATAATGGAAGTTTTATTTGTTTAATTGGTAAGCGCATTTGACCATAATTATGGAATTTGCACCCTACACGTTATTATTATTAATTCAATAGCTTGGGACTGAATCCTTTGAATGCTGAAATTCACGGGAGGGTTTTAGGTGAATTTTGGGCTACTTGGGCTGAAAAATGTCTAGTTCCTGGGACAGTTTGATATACCGGTACATTCACGTAAGTTAGCAACTTCTGGAGTTTTTGCAGCAACTTTATCCTCTCTTCTGATGGTTTCTGTTCACATCTACATGTAAGTTGTCCAAGGGCAATCGACTTGGAAGATGGACATGGGTAATTCCAGAAATTAGGGGTCCATTTTTTTTCATGTCCCTGTCACATCTGACATATGATTCTGTAAGTTCAGAACACAATTTCTAAGAGTGGTGAATTAATGCAAATTAGCTACCAAACAAATAGTAACAGTTTGAAATCAATTCTGGTGGTATTTCCATGTCAAATAACAAAGGCCAGATGTAACAGGGACACAAAAATGTCCCATTTTTGGACCTTTAATTTCTGGAATTACCCACATTTATTGCACATACAAAAATTTGAATAAGATATGCACCTAAATGTATAGGTTCTTTTTTCCCTTTTTAACACTACAACCTGCTGCATTTTGATAGCTATAAATGAGCCAAATAAATATTCCCAGTGAACACTAACAACCAATTGTCCAGCACTGTTGATATAAAACTTGTCAACAAATATATATAACAGATGTCACACAATGTAAACCTCCATTAATCGTCCTATTTTCAAGTGAAAAAAAAAATCACGTAGCCTGTGGCAAAGGCAAAACGGGTGAGAAGCAGACAAAAACTGAAAGTTCCTTCCTAAGTGAAAGACAAATTTCAAGATCAGAATTACAAAACAGAGCTTTGTTTAAAGAAAATACCAAAGATGTTCCAGATAGTAGTCACGGAATGTGTTGTAAGAAGCAGATAATTGGTAGAACAAGTACCTGTGGTTGAGAGTGAGACTAAAGAGAGTGGACAAGAATAATTTGAAATGAAATATCTTGGATCAGAATTGAGCTTTTTCTTTTGATTTCAAGTGGTCGTATTTCAAGAGTAAGATAGGGACTTAGGGTAACATAGATTCGTGTGAAACACATTTGAGGTCCGCCTGTGAAACTTGCACTTTTCTTTCTTTGTTTTCAACTCAACTTTTGCGATAAGGAAAGTGAAAGCCTTAGATTTATTTTTGTCTAAAAGTTCTAGGAATGAATAAGGCACCCTGGAAGTTGAATACATTTGGTATAAAAAAAATAAAACAAAAGAAATCCAACGGACTGATAGTTGGTGTAAAAAGGAAATTTCCAACCGATGGTACTTACAGCAAAATTGCAGCCTTCATCGTTGCAATGGTAATGTTCTTTGTATTGGTAGACACAATGCAGATGGCCACAATGCGCTGAACCAGAGTATCTGCCAAAGGCCACAAGAGAAGGGTTACCAGTTGGAAGTAAAGCAGTGGTGTAGCTAGGATTTTACTAGTGGGAGGGAGGTACTGTACAAGGGGGGGCACCAGCGTCTTATGGGGGGCACCAGCGTCTTATGG